GCGAGATAAAAAACATACGAAAGGTGAATAAACTTGGATTCAATAATTTCTTGTAGGGGCAACATCCAGTGTTCTATATAATATTCTTGCTGTCGCCCTTCTTCATAGATTTAGTACCCTTCTTGAACTGACTTCTGTCATTTGCCCTAAGCCCACAGACTTCACAGGCCACAACAATTATTGCTTGTTTCTTCCTATTTGATTGAATATCTCTTATTTACTAGGTTTAAAAAAAATAATTGATCATACATAATGATTTTTCAAATTTATGTTACGTATGTAGGGTACGCCTTTTACGATTACCTATAATAATAAATTACAATCCTGTATAATCTACATTAACGAACGAATGAAATTTTTTTGTTGAATAGCAACTGCGGTGAGAATCAGCGAAATTAAAAACATGGCCGTCAGTTTTTAATATAACACAATGTTTTATTTCAAATCCGAACTTTATCTTAAAGATCGAAACTAAAAATTAAAATAAAAAAGTAATATGACCTCGATTTCTACCCTATAAATATTATCGATATCGATACTAAACCTAGTATACAGCTACCACAGAACTATTTGGTCTTTTAGGTTGGTACTATTGATTTTGACGGCTGACATCTTTTATTTATTGCAATGTAGGTATTAGAGTGCCGTGTAAATTGATTCCACTGGCTTGTATGGGAGTCCCATCTCTTAAACGTAGTGGTTACATACTCCTTGATGGCCGTGACTGCTCACTGAGTAGTAAACATATTTTTATTGTTGAGTTAAATCGGCTTTATTCTTATAATAATATGTCAAAAGTGTATAAGATCAATATAAAATCTTAATGATTAAATAAGATTAATCATTTCGTCACAATATGAGGTAAGTTTCATTTAGCTGGACATACTAAACTTAAAAAAATAATTTTGTTGTACCCCACGTTTGATTGTGATAATCTGAATGTGTTTTGTGCGTTTTTAGGTAATTTCAGAAAGAATAATGTTTAAGCAGCAATTGTCTCCGCGCACAGTGCACCCTTATCAAACAACCGTGGTGTCTAGGAGTGAACAACAATTTGCATCGGCTGCACAACAAAGGGCGAAGTATCCGTGGGCGGAGGATATTAACACACCAGTATATCAAGTTGCAGGGACCGACAGTTCTACGTCCGACAATGCTTACCATGTATGTTAATTCCTTATGAAAGACACCCTGTAAAGTAAAATTGAAAATGTATACCAGCCTAACTTTTAGGTAGTTTGTCCCTTATTATTAAAATTCTATATTTTACTAATTTGGGGTGATTAACTAAAGGCATATTGAAAATAGATTTATTTTTATTAAGTATATGTAGATACACATTATTTCAGATGCCTCACTACTATAATGGGACTGCAAGAGAATACGGACCTCCATCACCAGTTTATCAGGCGCCCTATGCTGGAGGAACATGGCGCAGCTACAAGAAAGTAGAGAAAATACCGACCCATCGCCCATCTACAGAAACTTACTCATTTCCACAGTGTGCCTCTGCTTTCTCATTACCTCTGTGTGATGTGGAGCCTCATGCACAAGGAAGGAGCAGATCCCCTGTGCCTCCTTTACCATCCATTAGTCCAGAAGTACCCATAATAGGAGCTTGTGGAGGCCATTGCCCAGGATTTGAATATGTTTGCTATTATATTTTACAGGTAAGGTTCATAACTATAAGACTAATCTGAATAATAAATAACTTACTGTTTTCTTTCTATTTTTATTGCATGATTTAAATTATTAAATTTTATAGTACTTATATTAAATATACCATATATATTAAATCATACCCTTCATATAGTTGTGAATTTTGTTTCAGGTTATCTTTGTAGTAGGAATACTGACTGGAATATCTCTTTGTATCGCGGGAATTGTATTAAGGCGAACAAACCGCAATGGAGATCTTGGTGTATTAGTGTATATAGGTGAGCTATAAAATTATTCAATATATACATTGCACTACATTTTTAGAAACATTCATTGTGGTGTTAGGATATTGTAACTTAGTCCCGCTCCAGGTCTGGGTCTGATTTTGCAACATCACAGGAGAAAACCCTAGTGTGAATGTTTCTTTATTTAATTTTTATAGAAGAAAATTTAAGTTATATTTTCAAATTCCGGCATGATTTCCAGTAACATTCCCAATTCTTTTTGTTAAGGATGCTTATCTTCTTGCGTGTGCGGCGTTTTACTTGGCGTCCAATGCTGCGTTCGCCGTGAAATTAGACAAAGAAAACTGCGTGCCAATATGCATATACCAATGCAATCAATTCAGGTTAGTATTTTGATGTGCCCTTAAATCTTTTTTTATAATAATCAATTTTGCTGGTCCCAAGAGGATTGCTCAATTTTACAACTATTACAAATTCTAATCTGATATTTGTTCTAGGATCCGCCTGCCCAAGCTTGCCCATTATTGACATCCACATTACCTCATAGTCAAGTGTATAGGTATGTTTGTTTTTTATTAGTATTTGCGACAAATTCCTTTTTTCAGTTGCCGTATTCATTACACTATATTTTATGGATAAAGAATTAAAATGCTGAATTTTATGTTACAGACCTACAGTAAATATATGTGCGGAAGATGTGACTGGAGTTCCTTGGTGGCGTCGAAATAACAGAGACTGACTAGTTTTAAGTTCATAATTATACAATTGTGTATTCTATTATAATTTTGTTGGCTTAAGAATATACAAATAATACCATGATCTTGTTATTTTTATAATAAACGTGAATGGATATACAACATGTCTTTATATTCCTATTTATTTATTTATTTAAAAAAAACGTTGCGCTGCATGTTTATTTTCTCCTGTGTCCTGGGTGCATTTACAAACATACGAATCCATACAGAGAAGGCACCCCCGAAACAACAATTTGTAGATCACATTGTGTTGTTCCGTGCGGTATTCGAACCCGCGACACGGTGCACAACAGCCATTTACACAGCCAATGCGCTAATTATGCAGTAAATATTATATTGTAGATTTATTACATGCATTGTTCTTAAATCTGATTGCAGTGGCAACTACAGACCCCGGCACGTAACTAGGCAAGAGTAGTTAAATGCGTAGAAGTCATATTTTAGGTGGGTGCATCTGTTACGCAAGCGGGGCGCGGGGTGTGAGACCACGCCGAGCCGAGTGCGTGATTGTGTGACCCTTGTCCCCCGCACTGCGTCCACCAGGTACCAGGTTCAATTTATTTTATTTCGCGCTGATTGTTCAATGGTTAGGTAATATTTTTTTTTTTTGGGGAATAATTATGAAGTTGACCCACCACATGTTAGTGTAAGACAGTGACAACAACAATTTTATTCCTCAGATAACATTTATCTGACTATTGAAAAATCATAACAATAGACATTACATTGCATTTATGCAGAGTACCTATCTGTGGTATACATAAACAAATGTAGGCTCTTCTGTACATTACGTGAATGGACGTGGTTTACGTACCAGTTAGGAATAGAAAAGCATTTTTTCAGGGTGCCGGATTAAAATAAATTAAAAAACCTTTTGCAAGTACAATTTTAATCAGTATTCATCCAAACAACTTGAAAAATAAGTACATAATTAATAAAATCATTATGAAAGTACAATAAAGATATTTCTACACAAAAAAATGATAGTCAAAATAAATTACTATTGACATAGGTAGTGAGATAACTTTTATATTTTTTCTGAAAATAAGAATTTCATTACAAAATAAAAAAATTGAGAGCAAGGAAGTATAATACTATATCAGCAGAATATAATTGAAAAACACAGTAAGTTTCAGAAAAAATAATACAAAAAACATGAATTTCTTGTACAAATATATTCGGCGCTGCGTAATTTTCAGCTTCTTTTAATTAAACCGATGGCGAATAACATATTTAATTTGTTATAAGTATCTCCTTAACACTAATAAATTGTATAAATCAAAAGATATTAGAAATATACACAACTTTGCTAATTTTCATAGCGACAAAATAAGTGATGTTGAAATATTGCAAGTTTCTATTATAATGTACGTTTAAAGAGAGCTCGAATAAATAAAATACCTATGTATATTTTTAAACAAAAACGAACAAAAAATTAAATGCTACGCATTCCATATCGTTTCACCAATGCATTCTTAGACACTCTTACAACTACCACAATGGCCTGCACGCTTAAATCTAAGGACGGTCAAATAAAAGAAATGGACTAAAATATGTGATGACAAGAAATTGAAAAACTGTTTCTATAAGTACTACTAAGTTGTTTTTATTTTTGTGGTGGTACGGAATTTTGTTTTGTTAAATTCTTTACAAACGGCACATAGCATGATCGATCTTATATGTTTTGGCGTATATTTGACCAGTCTGCCGTAAACTAGCGATCCAGTCCACTGATCGCAAATACGCACCATACTTTACTTAAAATTATAAGTTTCATTTTCAAAACCGTATCTCGAGTACATAATACTAAAACGTCTTTTATATGTTTAAATACTTTACCAACGTTATTGAGTAACTCAACTGAATTAGTAATTGTAATTATTTTTTTACTGAATTATAAATTAATCCCTATTTAAATTCTGGAAAATGTATTTGCCTCTTACAATTAATATTTTTAAATATATAAATAATAACACAATTCGAAGGCTGCCAATCTGAAATATTCTTATTATAATTATAATATTCTTATTTATATTTAAATTTTACTGTCGAAATTTTATGTTAAGTACCATCATTTATTAATACATCGACGATTTATATTATATGATAAAACATCGACGTACGATGATCTATCAAAAAATAATAATGAAATTTCCTATTCCTTAGTACAAAAATTAATGATACAATGAGCCAAATGTATTATAAATGATATTACTGTATAAAAATAAATTGTATTTTATGTAATATATAATTCATAGGTTGTAAAAAAATTAAGTACTTACGAAAATAAAATCGAATTTGGTGGGGATTAGGATGAAAATAATTAGTTATACGAACGTAATACATCTATAAATTAGTTTTACTTATAAATAAAGATATAGAAAAGTAAATAGTGTGTAGAGTAAATAAAATATTCAATAGAGAAACAAAAATGTCAAACAATGAGCCTACCTACTAATTTTGAGATTGATTTTAAAAATAATTTGTAATATTAATACTTGAGAATATAATGTCGTTTTGATATTTCATATTTTAAATATGACAATCCACATTCACATTAAACTTACTTTCGTAAATCTGGACAACAATTTGGCCTCTTGACTTTTACTAATTTATAAAGGCGAATTCGACCAAAGCTTCATACAATATTGCAAAATAGTGTTAAACACTCGGACTAACATACAAATTGTCAGAATATTACCACTTTATCATAAATACAATGTGTAGTATACATTTAAATGCATGTGATCATAGTAGGTAAGATGAGATTAAAGATGATGGAATCTGAACACTTTAAAGAATACTTATTAAACATCTCTTAAATATAATGATTTTGTAAATAAAAAAAACATTTACATACATTGTATGTAATTATTAGAAACATTTGCTTGTACCTACTTCTTATTCTTCTCTGACAAAGGTCAGGGTTTTGTGGTCATTGTTATACGAGCTACCAGCAAGCCGTCATGCTTATCAAATAACTCTATATTTAAAGTGAACATTCAAGAAAAGATTTCTATATTTAAAGGATGTCTAAATACGACGATTACTTAATACTAAAATTACATGATAGAGCAAATTAAAATATTAAAATTATCGAAATTTCAATAACTGTGCATCACAAAAAATCAGACAGGTAGTATCACATAAAACAAGCACACATTATTGGCGAATAACACAAATTACTCGCTAAAGTGTTTATGAAAAGTACTTCTTTACTTTGTACCAAATGCAACCTTAACATAATACGGACTGTGGACACGAGACTTGACGAGAGGAGCGGCGTTAAAGATATGTTACAGATATGAAGTTTAAAAGCCTATACATTGCGATGAAATATCATAAAAATAAATTCTATGTTACTTATGCTTAGCTGCGTAACGTATCTCTAACACCGTTCATTACACAGTTAGGGGGACATTAAGTCTAGCCTAAGCTCGTGAGATTAATCTCGTTATATCATAAAATAGTTGTATTTACGCAACAGACGGCCTGCCATCCAACATTTTGTCGCTTTCCTCTGCGCTGCTCAAGCTGAAAGAAGAAATATTTGTCATTTAAAGTAAAGGTAAGTGTGGGAATGCCATGTTTCAAAAGTGTGAGAGAATCGTGTTTTGGAAGTGTGGGAGAGCCAAGCTTCGGCACGAGTGGGTCGGCTCGACCGGATTAATACCACGGCCTCACAGAAAACCTGCGTGAAAAAACCACATCGTTGTGTTTCGCCGAGTGAGTGAGGTTATCGGAGACGCAATCCTTCCCGTACCCCAATCCCTAAATCCCCAAAACCCTTATCCCATAAAGGTCGGCAACGCACTCGTTACTCTTCCGTTGTTGTGGGTGTTGCAACTGTTTGCTTACCATCACATGAAAAAAAAACGGTGGTGCGATCGAGTTTATCAAATCGGTTGGTCACGCACGCGGGTATAGTTATGCTACTGAGCTATGTACATTTTCCAGTACAAATATCGTATCGTATTGGTGCGATCAGTCTCGTTACATTACAGCTTAGTAATCGCGAGGTAAACAAGTGGAGACAATGGCGCGAACTTTAACATCACACTGTGAAACAAGACGAGTATGTGTAACAATAGATACTCGTGGTGCTGATATACTCAATTTTAGTAAACATCTTATTATACATCAACTATTCCATATATACTGCGAAACTGGCACCAGTTATTACAACTAAAGAACCGTCAGTATTCCAAAAAAACTATGGTGGTCTCAGAAAAAGTTAAGAAAACGTTGAAAAATATACATAGCATAAGATGTGACTGACCTCGGCGATGAGTCACAATTTCGAAATACGTAATTGCATTCAAAATCCTACGCAACGCGCTGACAAAAGAGGACCGGTGACGTTTAAACAATAAACTGCAATCATTGATGCATTAGCGTCACGACGGCCGACGACTCCCTTAAAAGAGAGGTTTCATTGACACTTATGCTAACTAGACAGATTTTAGGGACTCGATGTTACTAAAAAGCATTTGTCCGACGGTCTAGCAGTGTAAAAGTAAGATTTGGGTGAACTCAACGTGATTGGCGTACGCAGCATTTTTAATGTTTATACTTTTTATAGATAACTGGCTCTTTGACACGTACGTCGTCTTTTCTATTCTAATTGACTAGACTAAAATAATTAAAATATATCCTTACCAATCTTTGTTATCCATGAGATTGCGCATTTCATCATCAGGAGCGGGAGGGGCGTCGCGTACGGGCGCGTACTGTGCAGCAACGAGAGGATCGGTCGAAGGGTTCAGAGCTGTAAGGGCCGCGGCTCCACTCGCCGGAGCTTCCTTGCCGTTACCCCACCTCGATGAGTACGTTGAAATACCTAGCACTGAAGACAAAGTTATATTAAAAACTCATTCAGCATAATAATATGACCGGTCTTAATAATGCTTTGCCTATTAAAGATATAATTTTGAGCCATTGTAGCCAAGTCTAAAGAAGAAAAAATATTTTAGATTTCATGATAACATAAGTTATTAAGATCAATGACGGTCTCTCATGAATAATGCTAGAAATAACTAAGTAGGACGTATAAATTATGTGAAGAAGACAAGGTTCTGACCATAAATGTCGTTCAAGATGTTATGAAATAATGGTATGTTACACGGCGATTCGCCACGAGTAGGTATTCGCTACGCCGATAATTGTCACATGATGTAGAAAACAGATAGCCACAGTATATGTAATACAAAGGGTTGAACGTTCAACGTTAGGAGAATCAACTTAAACTACGCTTTATAGTCGTCGCGTACACTACTTCTAGTCTAAATGTTGCTTCAGTCTTCAGGACACAACACTTTATTTATTTTCATATAATTACCAACCTAATCTTTTGTTCAGCAACTAAGTTCAAATACAAAACAAAAGAACCAGAAATGCAGAACGGGTTATATAGTGATACGAGTTATATAGTGAACGGGTTATATAAATACAATGATTTTGATTAAAATTTTCGTTTAGCAGACGCATTAACTATGCTATTAATTTCAATAGAATTTGAAAGCAATAAAACTAGCTAATAGAAATTATAATTTAAGTAAGTATGCGTATTTACAAATGATTAGTCTGATGTTGTAATTACTATTCTGATATATGCATTAATATACAATACAGTTATAAACTAAAAGAAGAGGTTACATTGCCTTAAATTTTGTCATACATAACACGTGGGTTGGGGTATATCGTAATCATTCCTCACGCTGCGGTGCACGTGTGCTGTCGGTCTTACAATAACAATTAAGGTAAATGTATTTTCATTGCAGGATTACAGTGCGGCCGACGTATCTTGGCGAGTCTGAAGTTAGCCGTTTGTCAACGCAATGGATCTTTTGGGAACAAAACTGTGTACTGCGCAGCTAATCGACTAACTTCAGAATCGCCAAGATACGTCGGCAGTATTGTACGTATAAAAACGCACGTCTTTGTCCTAAAGGAATAAGGCGAAACGACAAAGCCCTCTAACCACCAATATACACCAATCTTAAATATTATGTTTAGTTTCATTTCTGGTCTTTATAATATTTGTATCGAATTAAGAAAGATTTATAGATTTCTTGCTACCATATTACTTTATATGGTAAAACAAAATGTGAATTGACTACACAAGCGATTGGATCGCGTGGGCCATTTTTAAATGCACCTTATCTATTCTTACGTAAAGGTCAGAAGAAGGCTTGGCCAATGGTTACTGTGACTAGCCAGTAAATGTTACACTTTAATTCTCTACGAAGCTTAGTAAAAATAAATCTCAGAAACGCTCTGTAGAGTCTGCAATCGTTTTTGTTTTCTTTAAAAATAATCCTTTGATGAATTAGAAACTGTTAATGGAAGTTTAAAGTTTTGTGCGCTTTCAAAAATAGACTGTAAGTGTACACGGGTTTGTTTAATCGCTTAGGGGAGGGGAGTTTGTTGAGTTCAACATTCCTGTTTTTACGATCAAGCTAGGTCTGTTCTGCGGTTTCACCCACATGATTCGTTTGTCTGTGTCGAAAGGTAATGTTAAATAGACTATAATTATAGCCTTTCTCATAACCTCCAGATAGACAATACGACTACGACCCCGTCAACTGTAAAATATTAATAGTTGCCCTTGACCTTACGAGTTTATTTTCAGTATTTTCAAGTTTTTCCAATGCATTGACGTCTTGAAGAACTTGTAGTAAAAAGAAATACGAGTTGCCTTAATCGTAATGAACAGAAGTACAAACAACATAAATACATCATATAATATGGGCGTGGAATTTGTCTTGTTGTGAATAGAATGCACTTCAGATGATTACAATGTATGTACGAAGTAAGTAGGTAATCTTTATTGCCGACACATCCGTTCGCGATAATTTTATTACTAAGCTTGATAGAAACAATCTTTTGGTGAAGTCACTTAGAACCTCGAATACGTCAGGTAATCACCACAAAATTTCTCAAAATATATTTGTAATGAGTTTGAAGTACTTAATCACTAAAAATAGTTTATCTAAACCTGTATCATACACTATGGATAATGCGCCTATTAGAGAAAGTTCAGAAGGCAAATAGGTGGCTCTACCTAGAAATAATTTAGTAGGTATTTACTCTGCAACCATTGGCAATAAACTAGCCTAGATAATGCCAGTAAGCTCTTAGGTAAAGGCTATTAATAATATCTATAAAACTATAAATACTTACATCCAGCTACCATTCCTAAGCATATTAAGACACTGCCTGCGACCAGTTCGCCGACGCCATTTTCGAAGCTGTGAGGGTCCGGTTCAGCCGCGTTCGAGAATTTCACACCACCCACGATAATCAGCACCATTCCTGAGAAAAAACAAGAAATATATAGTAAAAGTTTTAAGACAAAAGTTAGTTGGTGAACCAATAACATCTTTTCGGATGCCTATGTCTATGTTATAAGAGTTATTGGTAAGTATAAAAGTAACGAAAATCCCTATCTAATGGTAAAGTGTGGGCATAGATGAATGTTTGGTGCCTTATAAAACTACCGAACTCATCCAATGAATTTTGGCATTTGTGTAGGTAGAATCTGGATTAACACATTGGCTACGTTTTAACCTGGTATATGTATATGTAGGATCAAATTATTTATAATTTATCACGACGAATCCTACTAATATTAGAAACGCGACAATTTATAAGTAAAGACGGATAGATAGATGGATGTTTCGTGCAGTAAAACTACTGAACGCATCCAATGAAATTTGGCATAGATGTAGGTAAAGTCTGGAATAACACATAGGCTACGTTTTTACCCTAATTATACATGTATTACCTATCTTTATTTAGCTACATTCAACCACAAACCAAACCGCAGTCATATTGAATTGGAATATGATCCCCAGGTTGCCCTCATTATAGCTAGCGATTTATATGATGTGACAGACAGCAGTTATTAGCACGTATGTGAACCAAATGAGCCAAACAAAACTACGTTCTTGGCATGTAAAGTCAATATGTGCTCATAAATTTTAAAATCTATGTTGATTTTGTCTTTGCGTCTTTACAAACGTGATGCTATGCGTATGCCAAAGTATTACAAGTAAATGGTACCTTTTTAATGTCAACTCAATAATGTTTCGTCTGCATAAATGAGTGATATCGAACTTCACAAGTCTTGAAAAAGTCATTACTTTACCGCTCGCTATATAGCGAGCTAAGCTAGCCCATATCATTATATGGGCTAGCTTAGCTCGCTGTAAAACAGCCGTTCTTCAGTTAGACGGGCCCTAAAAATAACTTATTCAAAGCCTGACTACAAAAGTAAATAACGCTGTTACGGTACATAAACAGATACTTATTCGTTTTAGTTATGAAATACATGCTAACTTTATTTACTAACATTTCATTACCATGAAAACTAATTTTAACTGGATAATTTTAATCACAGGTAAATGACATCACTGCAATATTATAATAAATCGCAGTGAATTTCCTCTCGTTGTTATTTTTCACACGATAGATCCATATTTAAGTATTATCTAATCAAATACTTTTAATAGATTAGTTATCCAATAATGTATGGGTATCGTAATCATATTTATCTCTCACTAGCGACCCACCCCGGGCTTCACACGGGTGCAATACTGATACCAAATTCTCCAATATTTAATGATGTTATTATAAGCTTATTAATAAACTTTCCTCTACAATCACTCTATCTATTAAAAAACCGCATCAAAATTCGTTGCGTAGTTTTAAATATTTAAGCATACATAAGGATAAAGGGACAGAGAAAGCGACTTTGCTTTATAGTATGTAGGGATAAATAAAAAAGAAACTTTTCATATTCAATTGATTCTGTAGGTCAATGTACTAGTAGTACTCACATAATATGAATCATTGCATCGGTAGTTGGTACTCTATGATAATTACTATGCCACAACCGGAAACAGATGAGGTCAAATCTTTATTTACTCATTCCTATGCATAATCATCTTAAGACTGCATACTTTGATTATGAAAACTTTTAAATCGTGTCTTAGTACATATTTATTGTCATGAATAATAAAAATCAATAGATAAAACCGAGGCAGACACGAGTATCAGTTAGAATATGATCGCATCTCGTGGCCAGAGCAGTGCAACCGCACCCGGGACTTGCGCAAAATATGAAACGCGAGAACGAAACCCATTATTATGATATATGCCAGTCTTGGTATTATAGGGCACTCAATTCACAAAATAACTCTTGCTTGTTACATCAATCCGACAGATTGTTTGTTTGATTATATTACATGCCCTTTATTGAACTTAGAATCTATGAACGTTTGTGAAGTTGAAAATTTGAATAAAAATTTGAAACAACTCTTTGAGCTGAAATTTTGTATGTAAACACAATGATGTATAAAACTATAGATACGTTGTCCGCGCTCTAAAATGACAACATGAAATGAAGGCAATTGACAACATCGCGCTTAGTTACGCACCAACCTGCCGCGCGACGCTACGTTTGTTTTTAATTTATATCGTGTGTGTAAACCTGTGCGAAACATAAAGAAAGCATGTCGTTGTGTGTGTTCAGACGATGTACAAATTATACTCCAAAAGTTAAAGACAAAAATGTGTCATTTCATGCGTAAGTTCACCAAACATCCTATTTTTATTTTATTTTTTTCGACGCCGGCGCCCGCCATCTTATGGCGGCCGGCGCATGAAGGTATAGTCACGTGCCGTCGGCATAACTGAAGATGTATATTTATCTCCCTCTAGCAAAGGCATTCCACTATACGATGTCATATTTTCTTTCCCTTTCTTTACTCGTAGAAGTAGTTATCTAGTATTTTCGCCGTTTTTAAGCGCCGCGATGTTGGTTCATGACGTGTCTATATATAATACGTCATTGTGTAAACACGTTTAATTTTTTTACTCTTATTCATAAAAAATCCGTGTATAGTGTAGTTAATCATCAGTGTCTGCAAATCTACTTCAGAACGATATCACAATTACCTTGTTCTAAAGAATGAACACTCCTATAAAACAGGTGCCTTAGTTACGTCACTCAAACGGTAATGTTTAAAACATAAGCAATTTTAGTATAATATTTATCTACGACAGTATAATGATATTAAAATGAATAAAGAACTAATTCACCTTGACAACTCGATGTTCGCCGGACGTGAACCATTTACTAGTTTTATGTTAATATTAGATTAGGCGGGAGACAAGTTTTAAGTAAGTATACTAGGACGTGAATTGGTTGGCTTACTTAAAGTAAAATATTAACACATAAAGCTAAGTTCTCAATACTCGCTAAAATGATTGGAATTATTGGAAATGCCTCCCAATACACGCTAAAATGACTAGAAATGGCTTCAAAGAACAAGGTTTCCCTGTGACTCATACGAAAACATTAGGACTTTCCCAATTTCCATTATAAATAGGGGAGGGTGCAGTAGCTGGGATGAAAATATTGCTTCCATTCCCATAAATGTTAAAGGAGTCGTGAATAACATCGATATTATACAGGATATTCAGTGTTAAGATTTCTCAATTTACAGGGATCAGCTACCACATCAAAAACAATGCAACTTGATATAGAAGAACACACTAAAAACGGAAATAGCTATATTAATTAAGTCTAATTTCCTTTTCAACAGATAATGACGTAGGTTCCTGTAATTATGGTAATTAGTGTCACCAAGTTAAACGGATGTAATGTCATCAGTTGACTATAAAACTACGATGCGACCCGAAGCCACAAACACGCAATTATGTCTTTAGGTAGGTACTCTATCCAACCGGGGTTGCGGGGCTAGCATAATAAAAAGTACCTAAACCTCGGCCTAAAACAAGAGAAGGAACGAAGATTTTTAGTCATTAAGAGTCTGACACTCCCTTTTCTTGTCCCACTTTAGACGAGAAAAGGGAAAACTCAATCTAGGGCATATAGGCAGAGCTAGCGCAATAAGGTACTGCGGCCTCGGCATAAAGCAGGAGAAGGAACGGGATGTTTTTAGTAAGAGTCTGATACTCCCTCTCGCCATACGCTGGCCCAGAGAAACCAATGATGATTTTGCCCACATAAAAAAAATAAGTACTCTGTGCTAGTTACAGTCGGTCGGAAAGAAAGAAAAGTAGGTACATATTACATGTAAAATATTTACTTGTTAAAGTAAAGGATTTCTTTGTTTCCACTTTACCGCACTTAAGGGTCAACGACATTTGTATTTACTGTATAAAACTTTACCTTGCCCCGAGACAAAAGTTTGTCTGGAAAAATAATATTAAGAAAGAAATTGTGTTGCAATATAAATGGAGTTTTCTTTTTGTTTTGAATAGTTAAAGGTTTATTTTAATAAACCTACTTATTGTTTTCTAACTACGTAGGTATGTGTGTGCTTACGTAGGTTGTTGATTCAGCTGTGTATTAGTAATCTCTAAATACAGATCTGAGTAACTAATTGAAAGTTTACAAACAAAAAGTTCATGGCTAGCTTTAGCAGTACGATAGTTTGTTTTTGCTTGTATATCCTTTGCGTTTCTTATTTTGCACAACTTTTTGGCTTTAAAACCTCGACATAAATTACGCAATATTTAAAGAGTCTGTATTTTATACTATAGCTTACCTATTTAGGTTGGTCGTGTCAAAGATATTCTAAAGTGTATATTGTTTTCTAACTTATAGTTAAAAATTTCATTAAACGATCAAAGTGTTAAGTTGGATCAAACGTAGGTTGAAGTTAAAATTGTTTAGTTCTACTTTAAGGAGTTGCATTTAAACATCGTTTAGTTAATTTATCCTCGAGATTTGAAACGGAGGTGGGCAGGTGTCCGACGCCTACTGCATAACAGGTGGCGACCGGACAGTGTGTGGCACAACTGCTTAACAAATTAGCCAAGCGATTGAAAGACCCATGCGACCTACGAATAAAATACCAGCCACATTGAAATCATTAAGTTTTGATGAAAATTAACGTTAAATAAAGACATGACATAATCGTATTTTATTTAGAAATATTCCGGTACGAATCGAAGCATTCAGTTCAGTCGACAACCGGTTTCCATCGACGTTCTACTAAGCCTGGAGCATTGCGAAAATGGGGCACTGCAGCGGAAGGAGTAGGTTAAGGTAGTGGGCAGCAGGCTAGCACATTAGTGATTCATTAGAACTCGCCGGCTTTCACCCGTTGTGGAACTAGAACAATAAACACCCGCGCGGTAATCTATACTTAGCTACTTAGACACAATTTCATATTCCATTTGCATTGTATGCCTACGTACTGACATAATCCAGTTTTCATCGATAACGGTACATGCTTAGTTAGCAACAAATCGTACTTTGTCTTTTTTAACGTAAGTATGAAAAAATTCTACAAAATTGAGTTCGTAACACTACGCCTCAAAAAGCCAATAGACCAACACAGACGAGGTCCTATAGGGCTGATGTTCAGCCGGGTTGCGGGGCCTAGAGCAGGAGATGGTACGGAGGGTTTTTAGTCAGTAAGAATCTGACACCAATGGGCGGGAGCAGTCATTTGTGATTTTCCCCTTATAAAAAAACGAAAGACTACAATTTGACACCTTCTCTTCTGTGCCGTAAAACTGTTCTGCTATGCGTCCAAATGTTATTATAATATTGAAGTTTAAAACGTGGCCATAAAAAGTTTTATTGTTAGATTTTCAATGCCGACAGATTACGACAACGGGTTCGTGCTTCGCCCACGGGCGAGGAAAGTAATGACTTTCCTTCGCTCCGCGCTGTATAAGTTAAGAATTCCGTCTGTTGCACCACTCAGCTGAACGTTTCTTGATTCGTTGTTCTTCACTGATAAAGCTTTTTGTCGAGTAGTTTACTTACGCAATAACTTTCATACTTCCAACAGAAACTATTAAGTAATAGAAAATAATTTTGACAGGTTCAAATTATCTAAATAGTGAAGCGTGAGTGCAATTACGTTTAATAACATAAAAGCTTTCCAAGTTCAACTCCATATCATATTCCTTAGTTGAAGATACATAATGCGAACCTCTAATTTGTTAGATTTTTTTACTCGAAACAGTTAAGTTTATTGTTTCTTTCTAGCCGACTCGGCAAACTTTGTACCGCCTCAAGTATAACAAATATTTTCTTTTTTTATTTATTACTTTTTCATCTTTTAAACCTTTCTTTTGTATCCAGGTATATTGAAAGGCTAGATTCGGCCAGAATAAGCCATGTCGGTCCAGCTTTTCTAAAGTATTAACGAGATTAGCGAACAGCAATTAATTTTTATATTTATGAAGATAAAAATTGGTAAGGTAAGGTTAAATATAAAAAATTAAAACGTGGAAATATTTGTTGCGTAGAGATCTTAGGGACCGATTTTTTTTTACATTCAGAACACAAAAATACTTTTAATGCATTTCCACAAAACTACCTGCATAATTCATTTAAGGTAGGTAAACCCTCTCGAGTGTGTTTGTGTGGCGTGTCCAAGGACCAAAGTGGAAATGAATAAAGCACCTATTACGGAAACGTCATGGCAGTCGAGGCTCGGTGGAGTTTGTCGACCTTCGCTGGTAATGCCTGTTCCATTAAACATCACAGCCGATGTATTCTACTAGACCCGTATGTGTACGACTTCCTATTGGTATTCTTTTAATAATTGATGAATGATATTCTTATGAAAAAGTAGTTAGTTGTAGAGTTACATGAGTACATGTAACTCTACAACTGTTACTATACTATAAATATATACTATACTATAAAGTACAAGGTGTTACTTTCTTTACGAAAATCAAATACGTTTGATAAAAAAAAAAGTGAAATAGTAACCTGTTAGATATTGACTTGTGCAAAACAAGAAAGAAGAAATGGTCACGCGAGTAACCTCGTAAAAATAAAAAAAAAACATCAGTAAAGAAAAATGTGATTGCTTTGCAAGAGCAGACAATAATAAGATTCAGAGTGCTGTCTACATTTTCGCTTTCTATGGTTTGTCGTGATCAGATCACGGCGCACGCAGCCACCGGATGAGTCACCGTCAGCGGCGACCGGCAAGCGCCGCACACCGGACACTCGATACCATTTACGACGACTACCACAGCTCATTGTGTACGATACGCAATCCACGCAACTTATCGATGCTACTCGTGCTACTGTGAGCGTGTGCCATTAGAATGACTAAATTCTCCCATAGGAAATATTTTAGTCCGACATGCCCGGTTATGCAACAACACCTGGCGTCGTTTACTAATCGCTTGTTGATAAATAGAATATTATTCATAAAAAAAAATTATGTTCTAAGTAGCTATTAAATGCCTCTTATGATAATGATTAATTCAAGCTAGTTAGAATGCCATTATTAGTACCTTTATGAAATTGTGGCATTCGCAAACCAAGTATGGAGGATGGACGAGAAAGAATAAATATAACGATATCGACAAAATTACTATGACTTGGTCCTAACAGGTTTCGTCAGTTCCGAGGACTTGCTGTATGCTTTAGTAAGGGCCTGTTTAGCAGAACGAGTTCCGGATCTCGAAGTTGTAAATTCGCGATTGTTATTACCCTAATATAATGAATGTATCGACGAAATTCGAGTAATTGCGTATATTGACAAAGAATTGAGGCTGATTTTATCGTATCTACGAATAGTAACTTATATGCACATTTATGTTAGATTGCAGATACTGTCAGATCAAGTTACGAACGTAGAATATTAATCAACTGAGTAGTACTAACGGGTGTGTGGTTATTGCGTATCCGACCCACCTATGGCTTCACCTAAGCCTTTTTGTGGACCAACTACTGTTATAATCGTCATTCATATAATGCAGACTAGGTATCTAATAGTAGAGGAAATAAAAGCTGTTAAGCTTTTATATATACGTGGTAGTAATAGTGTCCGTACTTGCGACAATACGTCGTGTAATAAAATAATAGAATACGTGAGTACTTCAGTCTTTCATAGGTAGTACTACAATACGAAAGAATAACGCGCTTTGAATAAATAAGTGAACGGTAAATTGGCGGAAATTGATTTTAATATGAACGGTAAAAAATTACGAGACGAAATGAGAAGGATGTTTGAAATTTATTATTATACCTAGTTAATCTTAATACAATTCATCAAAAGATCAAAAGAAAGGGAAGAAATTTAAAAAAACTTTGTAAATATAATAGTATTAATCATAAACACCACATCATACATAGTCTTAAGATAATATGTATTATGTATCAGATGTGATCACTTTTTCGTATAAGTATAAAAATGCAATTTCAGAGTTATGCAGGTACAGGGCAATAGAACTATAGAGATTGAATTTTAAGATATTAATACATATTGTGACCAAAACAAGCTAATTGAGTAAAGAACCTTTTAAGATTTCTCAAAGAAACAAAGAAAACTTGTTTCTGAATTGATAGGTACCTAAAAAGTTTGTTGAACAAATAGTTCCATGTTATAATACTAAAATGTACAAAACTAATATATATAGTGATGTAATTAGATTTAACCTTGTGCAACAGTAACAGCTTCATGCCCTGAGATGACCCATAAAATCAATGAATTGTAGCAAATAGGTAATCAACAATTTTAAGCTAATTCATATTTAAGCGATTATCTGTGATAAATCACTTGTTGTGTAAATATTGTTGTTGTTTGATAAAAAGTCTCCAAATTGTTTTAGTAAGAACTAAGAATAAGGCATAATAATATAATCATTAACCACCATAAAGACATGATTCCTTAATTATATTACAAGACAATAATTTTAAAATAAACAGTGATATAATAGTTTTAAGTACCAGTAACAAATGAATCACAGCTATCTAATAATAATAATACTTTTTTTCCTAGCAAAACCTTCATTATGTTGTTAGGCATTTCTTTTTAACCTCTCGTCTGCCAGAATATGAGACACAATAGAAAACACATTGTATCTCGTGTAAATCTGCGCTCTGGCATATCACAGGTAAAATAGATATTCCAAAGAATAATATTAATATTCCAATAAGATTATAAATCCTACAACACCTGATTTTAAAGCCAACTGCGCTAGAAGGAAGTTATAATCAATTTTGTGTATTACTAATAGGTACTTAATTATTATTGTTTAAATGACAAAGGTATACAGGTTAGACCTAAAAAACCTCAAGAAGTTATTAGTATTGGGTTGTTTCTGATTGTAATATTTTTCAATGTGAAGTTATAGGGTTTTAAGAGTAATAATATTAATAACTATTAATTTACTTCATGTATATTTATTATACATAATAAGTGGCATTGAAAGTGTATTGATTTGGTTAAGAAACTTATCAAGTTTAATAAAATAGATAGGATAGTGTTTTATTTATTTGATAAAAGCTATGTGATACTTTTTACTGACTCTAACCTACCTCCTTTGTTAAATGTATTTTCTTGTTCTGAATAGATTCTTGGTGAAGGTAGGTAGGTAGATTTTTGTGTTGCTTTGAGTTCAATAATTCACAATTTATTAACTACTGTAGGAATCATATATGTGGCATTTGCTTTGTTTGGGTCAATAGTTCAAATAACTTCCTAATCCAGAATATCTGGCATTAAATAGTTTAAAAAAAAAATAAACTCTTGCAAGAATAAACTTAAAATAACTGCTATCTGGGACAGTTACTGGCTATTTAGGATTGTTCAGGTATTCGTGTAGAACCTTAAGGACCTATAAAGTTCCAATTGGAAATCAATTTTAATACATTAAGAAATCTCTGTAATTTTATTAAATAATTTGGTTAAATAATGAAAACTCGTGTTTTTTCTCACCTATAATAAATAAGATGCTGCCCGTCAAACACAATCCCACTCGCAAGCATACTGCTCGGTTCCAACTAGAAGCCATACGCCGAGAGAAGTAGCTGATAGGACAGTTCCAACGCTGATCTGTTGGCTGCTGTTCATAGGTCACTGTTGTAGGTTGATACACCGCACTTGTAGGCATTTTTAAAGATTAAATATCTTTCACACTCAAACAAAGATAACGTTCTAAGAAGAATAACTATAAATCCACTTCACAGTACTACTCGCAGATCAAACAAGTAAACACAACAGACAGACTACACTCACTATCAAAGAGTATGTAACCACTACGTTTAAGAGACGGGACTCCCATACAAGCCAGTGGAATCAATTTACACGGCACTCTAATACCTACATTGCAATAAATAAAAGATGTCAGCCGTCAAAATCAATAGTACCAACCTAAAAGACCAAATAGTTCTGTGGTAGCTGTATACTAGGTTTAGTATCGATATCGATAATATTTATAGGGTAGAAATCAAGGTCATACTACTTTTTTAATTTTTAGTTTCGATCTTTAAGATAAAGTTCGGATTTGAAATAAAACATTGTGTTATATTAAAAACTAAAAAATATATTTTTGTAATAATATTCAAATTCATGTTATATACGGACGGTGTGTTAAGGACCTAACTAAAATTATTTAAATTAAGTGGACTCTAATACTTAATACATATATTGGTTCAGTAAATTGGTTCTATGGGCACATACACTAAATCTTCTTTGCCAACAACTTTCACCCACTGCCGGCACCTGAAAAATGGAAAAAATCAAAATGGACAGTCCCTGACATGAATAACTCTAAATTGTGTAAACAGCTGGCGTTCCTTATATAATAAATGAATAAATTTTACGAATACAGTATACATACATTTTTATCTACGTTTAATCATTAATTTCTTAAAATCTACTGGGTTTGTCGTGTCACAACTTTGTTCAACAACATCTAATAACATCATTTCTTCTTTGGTGTGGTCTAGAAAGTAAATCACGAAAGAATAAATAAATCAAGGGATCTTTGGAGTTTAGCCCACACATAAGTCTGTGACTATCGATACTTGAGGTACATCACTAGTACACAATAAGTACATGAAAATCAATTTACATGTATTTGTAGCCTTTTATACTTAGAATTATTTATACTTAAAATTATATCATTTAATGCTTACCGGTCCTCATCCAAAGGAAATTTCGCCATCAACATCCTTTTCTCGCCATTTTTACGACCGGATCGTCCTCCGCAGATTTCACAAGTTAGAAACCGTTTTTTTTGGTGGCATTTTACTTGAACACGTAACTAGTCACAGCCGTATCACTAACCACTAATTAACTAAACAAATTATACGTAAATTTATGAAATTATGAAAATAACAACATAAACTTACAAAAGCAACGACATTCAAAGTTCAAAACTTCAATTAAAAATTAAAATGGCCGACGGATTAGTGAAAGAAAGAGAACTGTACTGAGGGAGTGGGATGGCAATATCCGGCTACTTCCGTGTGCCATTATTTGCCGTGCCAAGCCCATACATTTTTATTTTTCTTCTAAGTTGCGCTAGGCTGCTCACTATAATAGCGAGTGATTATGAAGCGTGATGCATGCGTATGCGTGAGCAACGATTTTGTATTTTATTTTGTTTGTGGACTGGGTTGTGGAACTTGTGGACCAGCTTCCACAGATTAAAACAAATTAAAGTTAATAACTTCAGAAAAATGCCACTGGTACCATAGACTAAAGAGTTTTATTCTTGAAATCTCATACTCTCACAATCAAAACCAGAAAACATCTGCATACAAAAATCTCAATCTTAAAATCAGATAGAAAATCACATTGAGATATATATTTCCTATGTCAATGGAAAATCATAGTCTCAGAATCCCAGTGTCACCTACACACATACACACACACATACAAAATTGTACACATTTTATTAGTAGCTAAACTTTATTAATCTGTGGTCATATTTAACGCTACTGAATGAATGAAATTCGTCCATGTACAAAGAGCCACAGAGTACATTTTAACAATACAAAAAGCCTTGTGTTTATCAGTTGTGGTTAATGGAATTCTCTTATCTATATTAGAAACCTGAGGATAAAATGTATTTATTGGAATTATTTATTTGTATTTGAATTGTATTTATTTATTTATCAAAAATGCACCTTGCAATTTTTATTTGTGTGCAAAATTGTAACAGTGTGTATGGTGTAAATAATGATACCATACACTACGAATTTTCTCCGTCCTTTAAATCCCGGAATAAATCTATTCTATGGTCTAAATAAAAATGTCCTAGACACAACGTTATTAATATTGAAAGTAAAGAATATCACTGAACATCGTAGACAGAGAATAGAGGAACTGAACAATTACAACCAACAACGGAGGAGTTACCTACGAGTGCGTTGTCTGTCTTCCTTTTGGGGATTAGGCATTTGAAGGTTGCGGAGGGGAAAGCCAGTTGATTGTTATTAAAAAAACTAACGCCAATATAATACTTATATTATTTCCATAATTATAAATAAATAAAATTTGGCGGCAATTATGTTAAAAAGGAAAAAAAAAATTCTGCTCTATAGACATGCTGTCTTTCTCCCTCCAGTATAAATTCTGCACTTCTATGGCGCATATTGCCAATTTTGAATTGTATTTTTTAGTTTACCTATATATTTTATAACGCGTGCGGCACGTCTATCTATGTATAATATAGTCATTTTTACCTATTGACGACATGCCTCCAAAAGAAGTTCGTCACTTCACGAAAACCCTTAAAAAGCACAAATATAATCTAAGGTAAGTACATATTTGTAACATGGTGCTCTGGTTGAAGGGCACAAGGTTCACTCAATAGTTTAAAATAAAAATACAGAGTATTTTGAAAAAATAATGTAATAGTTATAATTTTAAATATTCATTACCACTAATAAATAGATTTATATCACTAGACAGTCGCTGCTTTATAATTAGAGTCATTTAATTTAACAGGTAAAGGCACTGATCCTTCTTAAAACACTATTTAATCTAGGCATATTGCAACAGTCATTCATTAAATCAGAATTGCAAATGTTTCCTCAATTTTAAATAAATTTAATGGAATTGAGTGTCTATTTTCAGCAGAAAACTGCAATAGAAGAGACATACATGAAACCCATTCAATATTGGTATTTCAAAACAATGGTGCGAAACAAAATTTTTCTGCATCATGAATGAAATAACGACGTTTTCGAGTTATTAGCCTTATAAAAATGATTATCCTATACATTTCATATTAACCGGAAAATGATTTAAGTCAACTAAAAAAATCTGTCATAAATAATAAAATGAACTGTTTACATTTGGACATTGAAAACACATTACTTATGTTTATAATAACATAATAAGGCACCAAAGCATGAGCATTCGCCTTAAAATAATTTCGAAAACTCAAAGGAATAACAATGCTAATACATGTGTAAAATGTTAGCATACTTTTTCATTTGTACTGATTTAATTAAATTATATACAAATATACTCTACAAAAATATTTCAGATACCTAATTCATTACCATCTATTTTGTACATGCAAAATAGAACTTATGTTATTATGCCGTTATATTTATATTTCGACTTACGAAAACTAACAGTGGAACATTACTATTGTTTGACATCAAATAACTTGAAATAAAATCGGAAGCCCAATAAATGTTAGCTTCGCTGGAAGTTAGTGTAAATAAATAGATCATATTACTATATTCTGATGGAGTAAATATCTAAATTAAGAAAAGAATAATTATATATTTGAGCGTTATCATAGCTAGCCATAAAGCGAATAAATGTAAATGTGCATTATTCCACTTGCGCGCATCCGACACCTCAGGTTTTCATTCCTTTATAAGATCGATTTTCAGGTAAGTATAGCTGTAGCAACAGGAAAAACGGTCTAACCTACGATGTTAGTATTTTATTATAAGAGTCCTATCCATGGCATGATTTACATTAGAAATTTTAAAAATGCCCTCAAACTCTTACCTTGGAAATATAATTTTGTCATGACATCTCATCCAGAAATTCGTCAGTCTCATTATAACTGTCTTTGTTTCAAAACCACCCAGACTAGTTTTTTTAGTACCTACTCACAATCTTTTGCAATATTTACACAGTAACAATCACAATATCTCGAAATACATAACATTCTGAAAGGCTACAGATTTTAAATGAACACATTTTGAATTAAATTCTTAAATATCATTGTGTATAATATTATAATAAGCAAGACTCATGTAATAATAATATCTTGTATCATTCGACAGCAAATCCGGCTGTTTCGAGCACCGCTTGTTTGAGTTTGTCGTGAAGTTTTTCCTTGTTAGGATAAGGAGGTAAATCGAGACGATTGAAACAAGTATGAGCTTTAGGAAGAGAGTCGGGAGATGCGTCCGCTACGAGGTGTAAAGTAAACAGTCGAGGAGCCGCCGCGCCAGTCGAACCTTGCAAGGCTCGGAACCCGGCCAGCGGGACGCGGCGGGATCCTGTGACAAATTGTAACAACCTGGCTCGCATTTCCGCGTCGAATTCCTCGACTATTTCCCAGAACCAGGAGACTATGGGCGCGTCATGCGTTACGTGCTTGAGACGCGTATGTCGGCGCCAGTCGGCCGGATCCAAGTCAGCGCGGCCCGCCAGCAGGGGCTGCAGGTCGCGCGGAGACAGCGGGCGCAACAGCTGCGGCGGAATGATATCAGCCAGACCGCGCTGCAGCGCCAGCCACTGCCGCTCCGCGCCGCGCGTGAAGCGATGCGCCACGTACAGACGCACGTAGTCGCGCTTGTTGCTATCTGTCACGGCTTCATTGGCCCCTCCGGGTCGAAGTTCCACGCTGCGGACAGCACCGAATGACGAACACTCCACAGAGAAAGTTGTGTCTATTACTCCAGCAATGCTGTTTTCTCTGAAAAAGTAAATAACAATATTAATGAAATAATAAAACAAAAACGTAGTTTACATTACCCCTAACAATTAATCAAAATACTAACAGCATCCAAGAAAGTGACCGATGAAGTTCTGGATCCACGTCGCGGATATCACGTAAGGTTATGGGCCTGCCGAGCAACTGTTTGTAGAAGGGAGCAGTGAAGGCCGCGTCTAACTGATGTCCATGGAACAATGCCACACCAAGAATACGGCCAGCAAAGTGGAAATATGAAAGATGTTCCGGGTTCACCTGAAAATGAAATAACATTATAAAATGACCTTTCTAAATGTAGCAAATGATAAACTGGATGAATACTGGATAATACTCACCCCAGAATCCGCATTTATTTGAAGCGCATATCGATCATCGCCTGCGTTCGCATATTGGAAGAGACCATAATGTGGGTTGAACAGTTCCCTGCCCAATAAGTGGAGCCACTCACGGGCTACGCCGCCATAGTCTAATCCTTCCTCCCCGCGGAATTTCACCAACAAACGTTTTCGCAGCTCCTTGCCTCGTAACTTCATTACGAGCCGGTACGATTCCTCTAATATTTCGTTTCGTGATACCTGACAAAATCATAACATCTCATATGTTGATATATAGTTTTAATTTAGGAAAATTAAACTTATATCTGGCCAAAACAACGCACCTCTATCCTGCAATGTCCTGTCTGAGGCTGCAATGCCTGCAGTTCAGCCCTCAAAACCCTCGCCTTGGCAGCCAAGTCGCGCTTGTATTTGGGTAGTGCATCGGAATCCAGTGGTTCTGTTACTGACTGGGTGGGGGCTGCTACTGCAGGGGTTGAGGGTGTTACTGTTGCAAGGTCAGCTTGTGGCTGAAATAAAATTACAAATTATAAGCACCCAAAAACAGTCTTTATGTACTTCTCGGTCGCGACATACGTCTTGACATACTGTCAAAGTAAACATAGATTAATAAACTAGGTTTTTTATTTTACTATGTCCGTTAGAAACTTACAAGTCTAGCTGACAGCGCTAGTCGTGGGTCAGTAAACTGCGTAGTTCTATTGTTGTGGTCTACGAAGTATGGTCGGCCTGAAGGTGCGTGTCGCATCTCCCAGCCGGGGGGCAGCGGGCCGGCCGCCGCGGCGCAATGCCGCAAGTGTTGAGGGACACGAGGATCGTGCCACGTCGACGCTCCCGTGTTGGAGTTGTAGAAGTACACCTGACCCTGAGCTGTTGTGCGCATCTCTGAAATGTTCAATATTAGCATAAACAACTGCAATATTTCTGATATTTTTTTCTAAGAAAACATGTTTTAGTTAGACGGTCTAATTATTTATTAGCATGCCGTATAGCAGTGGTCTAAGGCCTCTGACACAGTATAATACATACCTAATTAGTTTATGTTAACCTTGGTCACAGCAATTGATGATGTCAGTACAGCAGTAATGTATCATTGTACCATTATAGGCGGTAATCTAAGGTTCGGAATACAAATGAAGTTAATATTAAGTATCTGTGTAGTAACTCTTTGTGAGAAGCCATTAAACAAAAAGTCATCTTGGAACTAGCCCAATCTATACTAATATTATAAAGCTGGAGAGTATGTTTGTTTGAACGTGCTAATCTCCAGAACTACTGGTTCGAATTGAATAAGTATTTTTGTTAGTACATTTATCGAGGACGGCTTTAGGCTATAAAACATCACGCTACGATTTTAGAAGCCGCGCGACAGAAGCAGTGCCTAATAATAACTAATCAATCTCAATTTTATAAGTGAAAATTTTGAGAGCCATGTTGAAAGGCTTATATAGTTTTAGTAACATCTTTAGAAATAGTAGTCGTACCATAACCAGGAGGTAGATCAGTAGCAGCTATAGGCGTAATTGGAGTTGTTGGTGTGGTTGATTGGGTAGTTGAGCCGGCCGGTGGAGACGTCGCCGTAGGAATACGAGACCTTACTGCAGTCTGTGGCTGTGGCTCAGGCCTACAACAAACATTGATATTATTTTTATAAATAAAGAAAGTATACTTAAAATAACTATACAATAATATATCAGTTCTGAATTTTAACTAGTCTACTAAGTCCCATTGGTATTTTCAAACTATTGGAATAGATTTAAAAATTAATTTAATTAAATTTTAATGTTGACAATAGAAACTTATCTTAATAACCAACCATAAAAAAGTGACATATTTAAATATATACCTTAATGATATGGAAGTAGCATGATTAACATCTGGGTCTGAAATTGGTGACATGGGTGAGGATGGCGACGCTGGAGAAACCGGGCTGGAGGGTGTAGCTGCCGGCGTTGGCGATGATGGCGGCGACGAAGCTGCTGGAGACACGGGCGCTGCGCCCTCGTTGGTGGGCCGCTCCCATTGAGTGCGTCGAGACGCATGGTTTACGTAGTATGGTCTGTAATGTTGTGTGTAGTGAAATATAGTTTAAAATTTAAAACATATCTTATACTATAAATACTGTCATTGGCCAATTAAAAATCAAATTGGAATCGAGTATCAAGCGCGATATTTTTCAAGATGTTGCTATTCGCAATTTATGTTATAGGACAGCAAGCGAGCAATCGGATTATCTGATGGTAAGCAATCAGCGCCGCCCATGGACACTCGCAACAACGGAGGAGTTACGAGTGCGTTGCCGACCTTTTGAGTATTAGGCATTTGGAGATTTTCACATTCTTACCTGCCACTAGAAGTAAAGCGTTCTTCCCAATGTTGTGGCAGTGGGTTTCTCGTTCCGTTTTGCACGGGTGGTGGGTCACGAGGGTCTCGTGGAGTGCGGACATCACCGGCAGGGCCCACCACAGCCAGGGGCGAGCCCTCACCGGCCGCGGCCGCTGGCTCACCCCGCGCCGCGTCTCGAGACACTAACGACACAATAACTTGGCCACGAACACCGCATGTTTCTCCTGAACCCTCTTCGCACAATTCCAGGCATTGGTCTATCAAAGAAAAAAATCATATGTTGCAATATTACAAAATTACATAAGTGGTACAATTTTTTTTTCTCGGCTTATTACTTACTACTTAAAAGGGCATTGGAAAGGATTTAATATTATGTATAACAATACAATGCAAGTAATTATTAGGTTTTTCACTTATCTTTTAAATTGTCTTAAGTGGAAAGAAATATTATTTAAAATATACAAACTGTTCACAATAATGCATAATGTGCACTCTGTAATTAATAGTGCCTTATTAGTTTTTGTATCTGTTAAAAGGTTTTTGACTGTAACTGTAATGAAGAAATTATTGGCATATCATTAATAGAGGCTAAGTTGTTTAAACTTCATAATTGATAGAAAATTAATATGTATAAAACATTACAAAACTATTTCTATAGTTTACTAGCTACTCTCGCGCGGTTTCACCCGCTTCTCGGTTCCGTTCAATTGTAGCGTGATGTTTTATAGCCTACAGCACCCAGGAACATTGAAGCTATCTAGCAGTGAAAGAATTTTGGAAAACCGAGCAGCGGTTCCAAAGATTACCCCCGACATACAAACTTACAAATTTTACCTCTTTATAATATTAGTATAGAAGACACTGCAATGGGCACAAAATCAATGGGTGACAAAATATGGCATAGTGGAATATGATCTCAGATTCTTATATGGCGTTAATTACAATATATGAATTATTTTATTTTTATTCTGTGAGACACTTAAGAAAAAATAATTAAACAAGGATAGAAACATTATTTAAACATACATCCCGTGTCCTTCAATTTGTGTACAGTAGACGGCTGAATTCTAACACAGCCGAGGAACCCAGAACCTTGTCGCTTGTGAACTTTGCGCTGATTCCATACACTGTAAAAAATTATTTGGTATTAATGTCTACCCTACACAAATTTAAATGTCAGTATTTATTATACTTTGTTATGTGCATATAAAGAATGTAACACATTACAGGTAAGTAGACATTAATTTGTATGTTATGAATGTGTTTCCCTTTATTGTTATAACAATGCACTATTTCTTTTTTACCTCTGAGGTATGTATTGTACTTGTAGATGTTGCTTAGGAATCTAACAAGGAATCATTTGAACAATCATGCCTTTTAAAATAAGACACTATCTTCCATGTTCACAAATAAAAAACACTATCACACTTAGAGAATCTTGAGTAGAAAACTTTTATCTGAGAGATAACTTTATTTCTTTATATCTTGTAATAGTCTCATGTCACTGAGCATTTTTCCTCTTTCGTAATGCACAATGAACATAGTGTTTGCAATGTTTGAGGAAATTGAAAAGCACAGTAATTAATTATAGCTAATACTGTACTCTTCTTGAAAAGGAGTACACATATGTAGCTATTGGATAAGACTCGTATTGTTTTCTAATTTGAAATTCATAGCTAGAATTGCAGTATGATGAACAATTGCTTTCTTTTATAAAGTGGTTTTCAGAAAAAGATGAGCATAATTTGAAATACAAAATCAACATCAAGAAAATATTAGAAGTGTTTAATAATTATTCATCAAATGCTTTAATTGTCAATTAATGTGCAGCAAAATATGTTCATGCTATTATTAGCTAACTTCCTCAATGATGTTAGACAGGTGAAAGTACAACTTTAACATGAAAATAACAATAATGCTTGTAATAAGTTCCTGCATTTCTGTAAATTGAGATAAAACAACTATTCTCTGAGACTCTTTTACTTTTTAATATATTATCTTTCAATATCTTCTCTCTCATTGATAAAGATCATTTGAGATAAGCAATAAATATATATAGGTTACTGGTTAATCTGTATATTTATATTTCATACTATTAGAACTTTGTGAATTATGGTGTTGAATTTAAATAGGGTTCTAAAGATGTATGTGTTGTTTTACTTACATTAGTATTATACAATTGCTTAAATGTTGTTATTATTTCATTGAATTCAAAACATTACACAAACAAATGTCCCAAGTACCTACCTATTAAATATAGGAATGTTTGTCACTTATTCAGAACGAGAGAGTGGCTAAACACAGAAACATTTCATAGCTAATTAAGGACAATGTGAAGTTCTTAATTGCTTGAGGACTCACCAACTCACATCACATTCATAACAAAATTCTCATAGCTTAAGTATGCTATTAGGAACTATCAACTATGTAGAACTATATAGAACCTACCTGATTGTAATTCCATCCCCTTTCGTTAGATACAGATCATAATGAGTATTCCACTTGGGGTCAAGAGTTGCTTTCACTGTATTTGTAGAATACACCTGTCCACTGCCATCCACAGAGATTTTTGCAAATGGATCTGGTAGCCCTAAAACCATATGAATACATGATAGAATAGTGTACTAATAAATACAAAAATGCAGGATTTGAGGCTGGAATTGCGACGCAGTTCTTTGAAACGAACAATTTTCATAAAAATTCAACGCAGGTCGTATGGTTCTCACCTTGAATTTACACTATCATCAACTTTGAATTCAGTTAACATTTCAACACATAACGAGAAGATACTTACGAAACAAATCTCTCCGAACCAAATTCCTGGCACATAGAACTAAAAACAAAATAATAAGAGAGTTAATTACAAAGAATGTTAAACACATTCGAAGCGAAATATTCACACCAAGTAGCGGAAATGGTTGGATAACAAGACACTCACTAGTCAAACGTATTTTTTGGGCTCCATATTTACGGTTGGATACGGGAGTGGACATGTTTTAATACTAAGTAATAATCATCGGGATAAATAAATTTTAAAACGATTTCATACAATTTTCACATAAACTTTCAGCCACCATTTTTATTTCATTGAATGAATGAATAAACTGGATGAACGTAGAATGAATAGTTGAATTTGTGAATGAAACATTTAATAAAAAAAAAATTCTGGAATCCGAGCACTGGTCTTTACATTCCTCTTCAAAGGCTTAATATTCTCGAAAGCTTGATATAACAAAATGCATACTGCATCATAATGTGAAATGTCAATCAAAAACATTCACACGTTGTTGCCTTTGCTCATGAGTGTTAATGTTACATTGGACGACGCAAATGACGTTACGCGGCAATTTCAAAACTATTCACTTGAATGTGATATTTTTATTGTATGTGTACTTAGAATAATTACACCTATGTGTATTGTATTTTTATATTTAACAGTATAATGTTATTGAAATATCGATTTTTACTGTCTATACTAATATTATAAAGAGGTAAAATTTATAAGTTTGTATGTAGGTAGGGGGCAGGGGGTAGTCTTTGGAACCGGTGGTCGGTTTACCAAAATTCTTTCACTAAAGCTATTCTTTGCCAAAATTCTTTCAATAAGCTACAATGTTCCCGAGTGCTATAGGCTATAAAACATCACGCTGCAATCAATCGGAGCCGAGCAGCGGGTGAAACTGCGCGAGAGTAGCTAGTTTTCTAATAAAATAACTTTGAGCGTTTCATTATTGTCAAACTATACCTACATATATGTATATAGTCAAGTGATCGCAAGTGCTGGTTACAAGTATTAATAATCACGAGGTTTCTTTATACTGTTAACCGTATTTCAGTTTTCATGTCATCGTTATTATCATTCAATCAAAGAAATTTATATATATATATATTACCTGTAAAGCTATGTGGGGTAAAATTTAAATCGGTCTATCTAAATAAGTACAAAAATAGAAGAAAAGAAATAAATAGATAGATAACAAATAGATAATAAGTAGATAACATATAGCATCCATATTTATAACCATAATTTTATTATAATATAACGACAATATATTATAATCCTTTTATTATTCGATAAAATATGGTTTGTTAACTTTAAATTGGTGGCACAATCGTACTGCATTCAAAGTTCCACACAAAGAAATAGTACTAAACTAGATAATATATGACATATTGATAACAATATGTACAAATAAATAAGTAGTATTACTTATCTATATTTATTGTACTCATTGTATTATGTACCGACAGCAGTGTTTACCAAGCACGCACACTGAGCGCACATTCCGTTGGAAAAACCATAGAACATAATATATTTTCAAAAATGGTTCCCACAATAATCATTCATGGAGGAGCTGGGGATATACCTGACGGCAGGGTGAAAGGCAAGATTGATGGTATGAAGGTAGCTGTAAAAGCAGGCTACGACATTTTGATGAAAGGAGGCAGTGCATTAGATGCCGTAGAAGCGGCAGTTGTTGCTATGGAAGAAGATGAAAATTTTAATGCTGGTATAATATTTATTTCTATTTACTTTCTGTCGTAAATTCAATCGTAAAGTATTTTTAGATTTTGTAATGATGTTGATTACTTCATAGCCATTGGTTTAAGTAGTTCTCTATATTCAGGTTATGGATCTGTTTTGACTTTGCGAGGAGAAGTTGAAATGGAAGCTAGTATAATGCGTGGAGAAGATTTGAATGTGGGTGGAGTAACACTCGTCAAGGAGTTCCTTCATCCTATCAGCATTGCTCATAAAGTTCTTACGGATTCACCACATTCCCTTTTAGGTGGAGAGGGGGCGAAATTGTTTGCTCTCGAAAAGGTAAAGCTAAAGAATAAGTAGGAATTAAAAACTTTTTTATTGACTGCTTTACTAAGTCGTTCTGTACCTATCTGATTTTTACAGGGATTTAAACCAATTCCCCCAGAATCATTGATCAGCGATAATGCAAAACGAGCGCTGGAAAAGTTTTTAAAGCATGGAGAATTTGGCAGGACAGAAATTGGTCCTAACGATGAGGTAAGTGTCACCACTTATCGTAAGTACTTCAAAAATCTCTATATTTGTATAGAAATAATCTCATGTTGTATTTATTTTCCAGGGTGGAGTAGGAACAGTTGGTGCTGTGGCTATAGATTCTCAAGGTCACATTGCAGCTGCTACAAGTACGGGCGGTATGAGCGGAAAAGCTGTTGGCAGAATCGGGGACACACCTCAGATTGGTAGCGGTACTTACGCTGACGATCATATTGGTGGCGTTTCAACTACAGGTATGTTTATTGCTAGATACTTGTTTGTATATAAAATATAAGTATATTTTATAAGGCCTCTGTATTTATATTTTAGGACACGGGGAATCGATACTGAAATATTGCCTGGCCCACACTATTATTAAGCTTATGGAGAATGGTACCGATGCAAACACTGCTACGACTGTTGCAGTAAATGGTAAGGTTTTTAATGTAATCTCGTTGCACGCACAATATTATTAGTGTAAAGACAATATTATTAGATATGAATATTTTCACATTTTATGGGAACAGACGCTACATGAACAATTAAAGAATAATGTCCATGTGAAAATATTTTTTATGCGTTAGAAAACATTTTTATCTCGTTTTAATTTTCAATGTTGCATTTTCCCAGGAATGACTTCCCGGCTACATAATACTGCAGGTGCGATCACTTTGTCAAAGAATGGTGAAGTTGGTGTACATTTCAGCTCAAACAGAATGTCTTGGGCTTATATCAGAGATGCACAAATATTTTACGGCATCAACCCAGGCGAAAAATTTTGCGACAAATATGAACCTGAGAAGTAACCGTTCATCAATTACTAAAAGCCAAATTGTAAGACTGAAAGAAGTTGTAATGTGATCACCATAAAGTGCGCCTTAATATGTTTCGGTAAAGACATTTTTATATCTATTGTGTACCTACTGTAAAATGTAATCAGAAAAATATAAATACTCAGTTACATTATATTTTTATTTACCTACTCCACGTGTTCGACGACGAAACACAATGTAAGTATTGGTTCACACCGGTTTTCTGTGAGGCTGTGATATCACTCTGATCGAGCCGGCCATTCGTGCCGAAGCATGATATAATCTATAATTATGTTGCGATAACAGTTTGGCATTTCAAAATACAAAGTTAGAATACCGTTATGAGTTTGGATATCTTGTAAGAAGAAGTAGGGTAACCAGTTTTTTACTTCGTCTATTTGCGGTCCTCCTTCTAATGTAGTATATTAAAGTGTCGGTCGAGCAGACATCTAAGTTCTAATTATTTATTTCATATTTATTACTTTTTTATTAATTTCATTCTTTTACTTTTGATTTCGTTATGGGCAGACATTTGAGCGCTATCACGTCTGGTGGTAAGCGATGATGCACTATTGAGCACGCCTACCCATTAGCAACCTATTAACTCGGGCCTTGAAGACACTCGAGTTATACCCTCGAGGAACACAGACCCGGCAAAGAAATTCACATCTTTTCTTAGCTGATTAGAAAACTGGAGACAAACCGCTTCGTGCGTGTAGGTGGGAATTCCACCATAAACTGATAAAGTTTTGCCGATTATCTGGTCGAAAGGACTAGGGGGAATCAAGTTGTGTAGCTCCGCCGAACATTCTCCAAAAATAAAAAAAATATCTCATCATAACTAACTAAATTAAAACGTCCACCTATAAAGGTAAATTCTCTGGTGAAAATTGATATTTAGTGAGACGTCTGAATGTATATCTATTTAAAATACCATCATCACAGACTTGTTTTCGAGCAAATTACTAGTATTTAATTATTTATCTCGGGAAAAATAAAAAAAAAATGTTTAATGACATTGACATAGTTGACACTAGACAATTTCTAACATGACAGAAGTGCAAGTGAGTGAACATCGGAAATGTTATATTATAAAAATATTTATTTTTCTTAAATATATAAAGTTCGTGGAATAGTAACTATAATTGTAATCATTAAAATAAGCTCAATATTATATTACATAAACGGAACAGTGCACAATGTTGCTAAACGTCAATATGCCTATTAGATTCAAGCCATTAGAATTTAATTGTTTCAATTGGTTATACAGTGTCGCACCATGTTTTCCCGTGAATGCAAGTAAAATTAATATTATCAATGATCCTAAAAAGTTTTATGATACATTGTGTGACAGGTTTCGGAATGCAAACCGACGAATATCGGTTGCAAGTCTCTACTTAGGAACCGGAACTATGGAAAAAAAGCTTTTGGACATTACTAAAAAGAACTTAAAAGAAAATAAATCTTTAAATTTCAAAGTTCTGTTAGACTACCAGCGAGGTACGCGAGGGGAAGTTAACTCAGTGACTGTATTAAAAGACTTTGTTACCAACAATTCTAACCAGTGTTCAGTCAGTTTATATCAGACACCTAGATTACATGGTTCATGGTCCAAGGCTTTGCCATCTCGGTATAATGAGCTTGTGGGACTACAGCATATGAAGCTGTATATAGCAGATGACTCAGTGTTGCTGAGTGGTGCCAATTATTCCAATGATTACTTCCAACAGAGACAAGATCGCTACATAGAGATTGAGGATGCAGAACTAGCAAACTTTTACAGTGAACTCATAGGTATGATGACTGTAAGTTATTAGGCTCTATTTTTATTTCAGACTTATTTTTGTTGCTTCATGGATTTTTTGTATTTATTTGTTTTATAAAAATCTTAGGACTGTTTATAATGATCTGTTGTATTCACTTTCTAGATGAGGTGAGTAATTTTAGCAAAGAATCTTCAAAGGATGGCATTAAAGAGAGGAAATATGCCTCAAAGGAGTTGTTCATTCAAGATATGAGGAAGAATGTCAATGCTTTTATGGCAAGATGGCAGGACCAACAGACAAAGAAGCTAATGTCTGGTAAATATAATGATGGTATGTTTTTTTATTATAATTAATATTGAGATTTTTATATTTTTTATATATTACATACTTCAATAATTATTAAGTCATATAATCTATATTACAGATGAAACGAAAGATACCTGGGTATTTCCTCTGATACAAATGGGCGAGTTTGGCATTGCTCAGGATGAGCATGTTACTAAAAAGCTTTTAGCAACTGTTCCAGAAGGTTCTGTTATCAGACTAGCTACTGGATATTTCAACCTCACAAATGAATATGCCAAGACTTTATTAAAAGACTGTAAGGCCAACATTAGCTTGTTAATGGCTCATCCAAATGTGAGTATTATATGCATCAAGTTTTCTCCATTACTTAAATAAATTAAAGAACTACTATTTCATGTTTCAATATTACCTGTGTATGCTTCTGTTAGGATAAGACTTAATAAAACTTTTACTTTGATAAATGAACTCAAGATAGAATTTAGAAGAAAATACTTTAGTTTTTGTTTTTTTTTTTGATCTGAATGAATGAATTGATCATAATTATACATATACTTTTATCATAATTTCTAGGCTAATGGATTTTTGGGTGCTTCTGGTCCAGCTGGTGGAATTCCTCATGCCTATTCATTGATTGCTAGAAAGTAAGTATGTCGCCTTTATTTTCGTGGTTATTATGTCTGTGATATTAATTGTATAACTATCATTTAACACATAATTAAATCTTTAGATTAAATTCTTTGGATTACTGTTGGAAAAATGTTAACTAGAATTTTAATTATTACAGATTTTGGCAAAAAGTTTTAGATTCTAAGCAAATGAACAGAGTGGAGATGCTAGAATATGAGAGACCTGGGTGGACATTTCATGCAAAAGGATTATGGTAATTATTAGTAATCACGATTTTACTTTAAAACTTCAATAGAAAAGGAATAGTTAGCTGTGTTAACTGAAACCCAGCTCTAAGCTAGACACATGTTTTCATTGTGTTTCACATGCTTACAACAAGACATTATGGAAAAGTCAAGCCATTTCGGGTTGAGACTTTAGGCCTGTGGGGATAGCCGGGGTTGCGGGTATAAACGCAATGAGGCACCGCGACTCGGCCTAGAGAGAGAGAGCAGGAGAAGGAACATGGGGGGGGTTTTAAGTCAGTAAGAGTCTGACACTCCCTCCTGCCCGACCCTGGGCGGGCGAAGTCCTTTGCTGATTTTACCCTCACAAAAAAGGGCTGTGGGGATTCAAGTGCACATAGTTTATTTAAAGGCGTCCTAAATCACCTAGTAGTTGCATTTCGTGACGAGATGTTTATTTTCTTGTTTGTACAGTGGATAAGCATATTAAGCTTGCCAGACCCCTGGGCACTTTCAATTGACATTGAATTAGATGAATTTTTCAATTGGGTAGTTTCCTAGGTCAAAAATAAATTAATTCGACGTTTTAATATAATAAGATATTGAAAACTAACTATACTTTTACTCATCGATCGATCGATACACTAAGTTTTAGATATTTTTTAGCTAATTTTTTAAAAATAAGTAAGCTATTTGACGCAAAAATGCTATGACGTCATAATTCAATGTTTCATACAAATTTCATAGAAAAGTATCGTTTTTGACATTTGGATAAAAGTATTGAATTTGACTAGTTGGAAACAACCGTATTCAATATTATATAGATACCTACCTATTTTTATTTTAAATACTAATTAAGTGTACTATTGTGTATTTTATATTTGTATATAGTATTCATTCAATACATTAAAGTTATTCTGTGTTAAAAACAAAGCCATTAATTTGCAGGTATTACCCACCAGGTTGTGGAGTGCCTTGGGCCACCATAGTAGGTTCAGCCAACTTAGGTGAGCGGTCTGTTAGACGTGACCTTGAAGCACAGGCTGCTATATTCACCATATCACCAGAGTTACAGGTAATAGCATATTCAATATTAAACATTACTAGCGACCCTCCCTGACTTCACATGGGCAACTTCTTCACCATTTGAGGAATGTTATTACATAATATATGTAAACCTTCCTCTTCAATCATACTATTTATAAAAAACTGCAGTTTTAAAAAAAATAGTAGTTTTAGAGATTTGAGCTTACATTGGGTTATAGGTACAGAGAAAGCGACTTTGTTTTATATGATATAGTGATAACCTGCATCCACTAGCTATGCACAGCAACCATTTCTTATTTTATAGAACTATAGATTTGTGAAGGTACCTGTTGCAGTAGCCTACAAATGTGACTAAGTTCTTGAATTAAAAGATAAACTACTAATTTATTTCCTACTGGACATGTTCCATTCAATCTCTGTTTATGTTCAGTATCCTCATTTAGATTATACTTCTCAATTTCAGGTAAAATTACATGAAGAATCACAGCTGTTGCACAAATATGCTACTGAGTGCAGTAGTCAACTACAGAACAGAGACACACCTCTATGGGTACGAGCCACAGTTGGTCTGTTTAGAACATATTTTTAAATCTTTAACAATAAGGTGTAGGTTTATATAAACTTGCTGTTAATCTGTGGCAATATGGTGGGTTTTAAATAGTACCATTTTATGTGCAATTAATAGTGGTAGGTATGCAAATGACAGGCTTTAAGCTTTGATAGTCATCATTCAATTGTAATGTTAATTAAATCTTTAAAGATCATGCTGTTGTGAATATTTATTTGCTGTTGTTAACATTTTCAAAGAAAAGAATGACTTTAGTAGTTGTGAACATAGGCAATTTAGGTTTGTTTTTATTAAATTATAATAAAGTTTAATATAAATTGTAGATAGGTACTTAATTACATGGACATATACCAGGGTTAGAAAGAATATTTGTTGTTAATTATTTTGTTTTTGTTTGCTATGTGTAAAATTGTAATAAATAATGTTTATTACGTCATATATTTTATAATTTTGCGATTATGATGGACTGTGGAGCTGCCAATTAATTATGTTCCATTTATGTAACTCAGTATTAAATTCAAGTTGTATGCATGTTTATAGAACCATTTGACAAAAGTAGTTACCAAAGTGTAGTTTTTAATGTACTCAATGTTGTAAGATAGTTGACAACAATTTGTTAAGTTTATAACATGTTACATTATGTAAGCTGAAATGGAGTTTTTTTTTCATTCCGTATTTTAATATCAGGTTTCAAAGAAAACAAAGTTTGTAATAATTCTCAATTATATTCACTCTTATTTTCATTTATATAATCACATAATCATAATTATTCCGATTCACACTTAAAATAATTTTAAAATAAATTAAACGAGAAAATATTCTGCAATAATTAATACAAAACTCAGTCGTTTCCTGACATTATTTGATTAGAATTAAAGTATACGATCAAATTTACAATAATAGGAATCAGGCACATTATTAATAATAAAACTATTTACTAGTGAGTAGTGAGAAACGTGTTTATCGTCGGATCGTTATTAGAACACAGGACGAATGCGACGAATGCAACTGGACGAAATCACAATAAACAAATATCTGTTACGACAATATATCAGCAAATAATTGATCCAATTAAATAAAAAAAAAAACAACTCACTCTTGAGCATATAATCATTTCTGATTAAAATAATCATTGCAATTGAGCAATTTACACAAATACTTAAATAACAATAATTATTCACGTTAGAATCTGTTACTGAGGCATACTTATAGTATTTGTTTAACAGTGAGCAATTTAATAAAAATCTGTGTATTCATATTTATTCAAATTTGAAACAAGGAGAGAGTAAGGAATATTCCACTACTCTAGCAATGGACACTGTTTATCCTAATCTTTGGTGTGTTGGGCATAACTACGCTGAGGGGCTTTACTAAATGTAGCGTGGCTCATACAACTATTGTGATTGGAAATAAATTACGTCAACTGCATTTAGTAAAGTCGATCAGCCCACACGGGAACATTACATTGTTGTGTCGCGGTAACGCCTTCATCTATACACTACGGACGCTGATAGTAGGTACAAAAATAGTTCACCTATTCAATACAATTAAGACTACTTAACAATTAAGTATCACGAGGAGGCCATTGTAAAACGAAATTACGAAAATGGACAACATAATCTCAACAAACATAGAAATGACTCGAGAAGCACAATACGAAACGTATAGATACTGACATTCAGGCACCGGGGCCTCCTCGAATATAATACTACTTATAGCAAATCACACTAAGGTAAATTGACTAGGCGCGTTGTGAGTGGACCGTACTGGCCGCGAACTAAGGCTTAGGCTTCGACCTCGGAAGTGGGGAACAAGTAGAAAAACGGGTCGGCCGCAACTAGTGAGGCCATGAGGCTCGGTGTCGGAGTCAAAGCCTGCGGTCGGTCGGGGGGGAGCTGCGTCAGAAGCCGGGGTCGGGCGGCGGGTCGGGCGGCAGGTAGTGCAGCTCGTCGACGGGCGCGCTGAACACGTTGTAGAGCACCGCGAACAGCGTGCAGGCCGCCCACGCGCCCAGCGCCGCCCACCACAGCAGGCGCTCCCACAGCCGCGCCTGCGCGTGCTTCAGCACCAGCAGGCCGATCGTCAGCCCTGCCAGCGCGCCCGCCACGTGCGCCGCGTACGATACCGGGGGCGCTTCCTGCAAACGACACTTTCATTACTCCTGCACTGCTGGCGGTGAGCTACGTTTATGGTCATACTGCTCGAGACGATCGCTTACCTTAGTATACCTAGCGTGAACCGCGAAGCCCACGTCGCAGGAGGCGACAGCGAGCGCGGCGACGAGTCTGACAGCGCCGTAGCGCATGGTGTGGAAGTTGAGCAGTGCGTTAGCGAGGTGCGCGGCCAGTAGCGCGTACACGCCGCCCGAGGCGCCGGCCAGGCACACGTCGGGGTCCAGCACCGACGCCGCCAGCGAGCCGCCCAGCACGCCCGCCAGGTACACCGCCGCGCACCGCGCCGCGCCGTGCACCATCTCTAGTGGCAGCCCCACCTACATACACATAATTAACACATTTAGGTACTACTAAATAGTACATTCGTTTTGGTGCCTTATAGGCAAAATCTTTAATGTTTGAGGCGTTATGTAAATGACAAATCATAAATCAACTAGCTACTCCCGCGCGGTTTCACTCGCTGCTCGGCTCCATTTAATCGTAGCGTGATGTTAATATTAAAATATTACCCCCTACATACAAACTTACAAGTTTTACCTCTTTATAATATTAGTATAGATGAAGTGTCTATAAAGACTTCTGCACAATGTTGTTTAGCTGAAATTGCAAGCAGTGAAAGCAATACTAACCGCGAGTTGGACAAGGAGATTGAAGGCGAGATGCAGCCAGCCAGCGTGCACGACGCTGTAGGTGAGGAACCGCCACAGCTCCCGGCGCCGGTCTGAGCGGTAGACGAGTGGCGAGTCCACGGGGACGGGTCCAGCCGCCGCCGCCACGCCACCCGAGCCCCACGCGTACCACGCGAACACGCCCAGCTGATAAAATCACCAAAAATAAATTATGTTAAATTCGTTTACATTTAAATATAGGTAAGGTTGCTTAGTTAAAATCTTTTATCCATGTATTAATCAATTTTGGAATAAATAGTTCCATAATATTTTTTTACAAGTTTATCAGACATTAAGGAGTTTAATGAAGTTAAAAAATCAATCATCATCATTCCTTAGATACTTATTTCGACAATACTTAATTAACAAAATTTTGTACCTACGTATTTACAAATATTCAATTCTATCATGAAAGATAGCGCCTAGCAATAAATAATAAGGACAAATATTTTATTATCATTTTATAACATTATTCATAGAGGGAAAAACCGTTAACAAGAAAGCTAGTAGCGGTATAGCGGAGCATAACACGCGAGTACGCGCGCAGTTGCGAGTGCGGCTCCGGGCTGAGGTGAATCAACGTGTGACGAGCCAGCAGTGAGCTCTGCCGACCGATTGTTATGATTCACGTAAATCGCTTGTTTGCACGGATGTGAAATCCGCTATTATAATTTTTAATTAACCGAAGTAACTGGAGCGGGGATTGAAGCGGCACTAGGCACGTAGAAAGTGATGACTTTGTATGCCTTCGGTACTGTATTGTGCGAAAGATTTATGTCCAAAAGTGGTTGCATAAAATCTATATTTTTCACTATCGTCTTATCCGTTGCGGATACAAACTATGTTCTTGGTGGCTCTACAGTCTACATATAACAGATATAAGAGTAGTATTACCTCTAACAGCGTGACACAGATGATGAAGAAGGGCGGGGGGCAACAAGTATACCTTTCCTGGTAGTACTTGCGATCCCGCTCCTCCGGGAGCATCTCCATCGCTACTAGGTGCACCATTCTGTAAAAGAACAAGCATTTCATGAGAAACTGATCGTACCATTGAGAATTTTGTAGGTAAGATGTGACAAGTCATAGTTTCCAAGTGTTTTGATAGGGGTGTGGTATTCCAATTTGTTGGGAGTTGGTGTTTGATGTCAATAAGTGCCCCCTTTAGCGTTTAATGTAGTAAACCAGCCATGATTGTAGGCGAGTTCATTCTAAAAGTGTAAGACTACCAAGGCATAGTAAATGTATGTTATCACTACCTGAACTTTTATTGATGAAATAGACTTTACATTCCTATTTCGAAACCGTACTGGAAACGAGTAATTGATCAATTCGCTTTCACTATATTTTCGATCTATGTAAAAGCATTTTATTTACGGTTTTATTGTACGAAAGCACACCACATGTCAACGTGACACGACAAGTGAACATAAAAAATATTTTTAGCGACGGCAATCGATTCAAAGCCTATAATTTCAGTGGTATAAAGAAAATAATACACTACATAATTTAGTTTAACTGAAATTTTGATTTAGATAACATAACACAACACAAAGTTACATTTTACTGGAAATTTACAAGTTTCATCGATAAAGGATTTATGTTTACTGGAAGATGACAGACGAGTCACGGCAGACTCGATTTATTTGAAAATTGTTTTGAACAGTTACACTCCGTTAATAGAGGGTAGTAAATATGTCTCTAGGCTTTATGTAATGAATGGTGTCTGGTGTTCCTACGATACATTGGTATTTTCCTGTTTTTATCATCGTGTGGTAAGTGGTATTACGTAAATTTATGCAGTGAGGTAATGTCTAGTGAGTTTACCTGGCGAATAACGTGGGATCCTCTAGGAGCAGATGGAAGTCGTTCTCGGAACTGACCTCACGGTCACGGTGGTGTACTGCGCATCTATAACTGCGTGTGCGCTTGCCGCTCATCTAAAACAAACAAACATTCTATTAAACACATGTAAATACTGCCTCTGTCTTCCCGTAAACCTTCTGTCTATATTAGATAGACAATCAAACATGGAATACATAGAATATGATGACTATTTTCAGGTCACGTCTGCATATTAGTCTTTTAAATCCTTTCTTCATTGCATTGTAATGTGTATTTCTATTCACTATATCTTAATTTAACCCCCGTTCAAAATTTAATCCGTTCCGGGAAAAACAATAAAACATAACGCGTGTTTCCCTTGTACAGTCATACACAGTTAATTCCCTAACGTAGTTATTTCGTTAAGGCCAAATGCACACTAAATAATTTATCATTGAGTGCAATGCATGATTTTCATAAAATATCATGTAAAATGATTTCGATAAGATTAAGGATTTTCACATATTCACATATTCTTATGAGTTTTCTTTAATCTTACGTTGATAGCCCTGACTATATTTATTTCAATTTAGGTCATATTCATCTTTTCAGGTAAATCCAGATAGATACTCGGATGACCTGAATAGGACCATGTGATCCTATAAGGCTTAGTAAAGTAGTCGATTCTAATTAAAACTCAGGAGATTTTAAGACCACGGAAACGTGAAATGAAGGAAATTATAAATGCGGCGTTCAATAAAATAAACGGTGAGAACTTCCACTTTAGAGTGGCGAGGGTGTATTTATGTGTCGCGGCACTGGCGGCTGGCTCGCGGCCAGCGCTTATCGACCCCGTTGTGAACCCCCCAACACCCGCCCTTGAGACACGTGTTTTTACATTTCAATGTTTCAACTAACTTAGGTTCACAGCTTAGTCACGGACTGCTAAAACATTTAAGTGTAGAGCTGTTAGAGCCCTTTTGTTGCCTAGTACATATTATGTAGGCTAGTGAGTGGTCTCCGTGTTAGCTACGTCGACGCTACGAGTACGGACTACCAGAATACTTCTATTTTAACATATCTGCAAGTAGGACAATATTGTGAGAAATGATTAATGGTATAAAGTTGCATTTGTTTTTAGTTCCATACGTAGTCATAGTGAAAGCTTCAGGAATTCGGTGCACCTATTCTCTCACGGCATATCTGCCTTCTCACGTTAAGCTTCCTATACAGCAATGTTATGTTTTGGATGTGAAGCGCTGTGAATAAATGAAGTTTTTGTTTTAATAGAAGATGGCCGAAGATGTAACGCTGAACGTGAGGTGCAGGCTTGACACCCGGCAGCGGGCGGCGATGCTCGGCGCTGCCGCGATGCCGCACGGGTGGGCGGTGGTCCGGTGAACGACTGGTCGCGATACCAGACAGCCGCATTGTCTCTGCAGTCGTTCAACTCAGTTTCCCACGAGACTGCGAAATGTCCAATGCCAAAACCCAAATACAAATAGCCTAGACGCGTCGCAGACACAGCTAAATCTGTCTCGGCAACAGCGAGACCGCGTTAATTTAGAAGACTGTGCGTGTAAGATTGTCCGCAGTCATTGTCATGATAGCGTTACGGTTGTAAGCTTTTTACGCGGATTAACTAGTATCCATGAAATAAGTAAGAAATAAAAATATTGAGTGCAAAGTACTTATAAGCATATAAAAGTAATGGTGAAAAACCATAAACATTTGTCTAATTTTCGTAGTTTTCTGCGTAATAAAGGTCAAAATAGGTAGTACGATATTTTTGTATTAAACTCACGAGGGAATAACTAATCTTGATCCTTAAGGGAACGAAAAAACATTTTAAGGCGGTTAGAAGGCAAATATTATTGAGAGTTGAGATGTTTTTATCATTGTTGGGATTTTATTGTAATTCGAGTTTATCGTATTGTTATCATAGAGTTTATTAATTGGTTAAATTAATGTAATCTTCTGTGGCTTTTAACGCGTACCTATTTAAATTGACGTTTAGTGTAGTTTCTGAACTCAAGCTGATGTAGTAGTTTTGCGGTGCAACCTGGGCGCCAGTGGGCGCACTGGCTATGGCGGAGCGACGCGGCGGCGTGGGCGCCGCGTGACTCACGCCGACATCCGACACGTCCGATCCGTATCCGGAACCACTAACTAGGCACCTATTGCCGTTGCCAGTCAAACGAGCGCACGAGCCTACGCGACGCAACAATCATTTCAATAACCCACATTATCATACACACATTAATTATTTCAAAATTGTAAAGGTAAACAAACATTAGTTAAAATGGATTTCTAATTTAAATTCATTCCTTTAATTTACCAGATTTCTATTTGAACAAACCAAATTCGTATTAGACGTACTTTACTTTGCTTTAAGTTATAGTTTAACTAGACGGTAACGTACACGGACTTTGTTCTTACTCCGTGGTAACGTATGAACACCTACGCTGCATAAAATTATTATATGAATGGAACTACTTACTACTCATAGTTCTTTCACTCATCTCATTCATCAAATGCTTATAAAAATTTGACCATTATAATTATAATTTCAAAGATGATTTAAAATTTTTGGTCAGTATTTCTAACCCTAATAGGTACAACCGGCAACTAATGGAGCAATAGACGAAATTCGTGCATGTATTAGCTGCATGTGCATATTTTTTATACATACCCAACAACTTGTAATTAACCCTATGTTAAAGATCTGGATAAGATTGGTTCATTGTGTTAGCGTATAAAAATAATGCTTTTTATGCGGATTCATCATTGTGATGGCGTTTTTTATGTAAATCTAGCATATTCATATAAGATTTGGTGTGTTAGAGCGATGTGCCCGGCACGTGAACTCTGGGAGCGTTCCCACGCACCCACCTCCGCACCATTATGTTCTAATCTCTTGTAGTCTCTTTCCATTATTACGAAGCTGTGAAAGTATGCTATTCGTTTTGCAAGTGGGAAGGGTAATAAATTCACGTTGCGAAATTCGACTGCAAAAACACATTAATGAGATAAAGGAAGTATTCTTCAAATTGTTTGCCTATGTAGTACCACTTTGACCATATATGCATAAATATTTTTTTTTACATTTGGGGTAACGTAAATTGGTTCTAGCGGTGACTGGCACCATGCCCACCTCGGTGCGCGTACCCGCGATTTCCTGTCGGAACTTCCGGTGGCAGCGGCCGGTCACCACAATGCTTCAAATATTTTGTCGGGGTTTGAATAGATTGATTGATTTATTAATTCTCATTAAAAATAAGTATATAAGTACCTATAATAACGTAGCACGTATAAAAATGCGTATAAATTCGAGCCATTGAAAATACGGAGCGACACAATTATTCTGGTCGTAACATGTTCATACATGTTATTGCTGTTTCTACTCTTTGGCACTGCTATGGTATAATTGACTTTATATAAATCTATTACCCAATTGCGCCATATGCATTCAATGACAGTAGACAGTAGACACACACAATAATTTAAGTTCATAATCATTAGTGTTTTTAAGTAATAAGCATTGATCGTGAATAATAGTAATATTATTTTCTTAAACACATTTAATGCTTCTCAAGTTATTAAAACTTAACTAAATTATAGGGCTATAGAATACATGACTTGTAAGTTGTAAGTCACAGAGAAAATTACTTAATCATAATAATCTATCACGCATAATGCAAATCTGGTAATTCAACTATGTAAATTAAATGATGAAATCAAACTGACAATGAGTCAGAAGAGTTTGTCGTCGTTCGTCGTCGTCGAGTCTTTCAAAGTGTGAGCAATTCTTTTAAATATCTAATTCTTATGTTTTGTAGATTTTTTCAATGTGTTTCTTATGTATGACATATATGTATGTTAATTATTGACCTTATAAAACACACCTGTATCAGTTTTAAATGTTTTTTTACCCAATTTGGAGTACTTGGTTAGATACACCATGGTTGCTTTTACCAGTGAGTGCCGACTGAGCATTTTAGTCTTAAAATGAATCTTATTCAAAATAACCTTTAATTGAAAATATACAGTATTTAATGTAGTTCAGGTAAAAAAGGTGTAGACTTATTGTAACTAATCTTACAAATCTTGAAATTGTCGTAATGCTATACGAACAGAATAAAAATTCGACATCCCGAAAGCAGTAAATATATTTTGAAATCAAATGAACCATTACTTTATAACTAGTTATTTATGATTTATCAATGAATCTCGAACATTTAGTAGATACATTATGCATTTTATTACAGTACGACATAGAAAATTGTCATTTATTTTGATGATGAAGAAATGAAATAGTAATAATTAAAATATGATGTTAATCGAAACAGTTTTATAGCCCAAGTCGCGCCCACTATGCGTAGGTTGGCAGACCACTACCTACGTGGTTCTTTGCCAAATTAATTTGTATATTAACAAATAATAGTAGATATTTCGATTTTTTAATTTCTCAAACAATGACAAAAGAAAATCGAATAGGTATGATTGAAATCTTAAAAATCACCAAAGTCTACTACAAATTATTATTATACTAAATAAGCAAATATAAGTAATATCATAAAAAATGCGACGTGCAATGTGAAGTAAATTGGTAAAATTGTGTGCGACGCCGTTCCAACAATTTACCTTAGTAGATACAATATCAAATGCAGTTATTAGAAAAAAATAAGTAAACATTTCGAAATTTTCGATACAAGTGATTAATAATAAAAAATGTATAAATCCAACTTGTTTACCAATATTGTGTAGAAATATTTTATATTTTGTAAGCACTTAATTTTAATACAAAGTAGAACTTTTTGATTAAAAATTAAAATAAACAAACGGATCAAAACTTATTGGTCGTTGTATCACAAGTCATAACTAATTTAAAACCTAAAATCTTTATTCATACCTATTTGTATCAAACTCCGTAAATTGATTGCCTAATTATCATACTTAAAACAAAACTATTTAACTATTTCTTATTATCAAACTAGATCTAGTTAATTTCAAAAAGTATTGTAATGTGTTCAAGTTTATTTGGTTATTGGCTTTGGTAAACATAACCTAAAAAAATATGAAAAAGTAATTTGAATAAAATTATTTTACGATGACTAAATAATAACGATATTAAACTGCAAATAACTTTAATATTAAATTGTAATAAACATAACAAATACAATTCTGCGGACTTACCCATCATTTTCCTGAAGTTTGTACTCCTTTTTTGCAAAACTTATTTTCTTGTTATTATAAATTAATAAAATATATTCACGTCACTAAAACTCACTGGGATTTTATGCGTGAGGTAGATAATTGTTTATTTTGTAAAGTTTTCGTTTGCGTTTGAAAGACGCGTGCGGAATCAGCTGTGCTGAGAGCGCGGAGCGACACGAACTACTCTCAACAGCGCTCCTTGCAGACTGACGTTTCGTAATTTCGTTCCGTACTTGCGTTTCGTTTTCGTCCGGTTGTCGAATGCACGGGTGTTTTTTTTTGCGGTTTGAACTGAGTGTCGGCTAGGTACTGCATTGTTGTGATCCTAAAAGGGTGGTTCCATATTTTATTTCCGATTGAGGTGGTATACCTACTTTATTTATATTATTGTTGAGGAACTTTAGGATGCATGTTTTTGGATATTTTAGGAGTATGGTACTTAGTACTTACTACTAGTCAGTACCTAGTTAAAGATGTGCTACATTTTTATTTGATAAGTACCTAGGTAGTAGATACTTCCTTGACTACCTGCATTTGGATTGTTTATATACCTAACTATTATAATTTGATAATTACATATAAAACGTGTGAGTATTTAGAAGTTTAAATATTATATCTTTAAATGTGCTTGAATTTTAGTATTTACATAAAAATATGCCATGTGCAAGGTGGGTACGGCAACCCAGGCTAGAACAAAGGCTGGAATTTATTTTGTTAATTATGCTTGCACACCTGTTGACCAAATGCTAAAAATATTTTATCTATTACATTTATGGTGTTAGTGCCTCCTAATCCCTTTCAGGTGTGCTTCTTTCTATTGAAGAAAATATTATTTTCTTTTTCATTTGTATTCTGCTTTATTACTGAGACCATTTATCGCGGTAAAAAATGCTTTGTGTCATGAAAAAGATAAAAAGCAAAAAAAATGTAGCTAATGGGTGTGCTGAACTGGGAGGGAATACGCCAAATTACATTAAAACAAACTCATGGAATAGGTACTATTATACCATAGGTGGGGTTTTGTTGATCATCACATCAATTTTTTACATATGATATCGGTCGGAATTAAATTTGCGTGTGCGTAAATTTCAGCGTCTTTTAGTCAATAAATAGCATTCATAAATTCGCAATATTTACGTCACAAAATGAGGAAAGTCCTAATATACAAGAAGACACTGTTTCAATAAAAAAAAAAACTAAGCAGATGGTATGACCCGAGCCTCGAGACTAGACATAATGACATTTCACGCTCACTGCCTCTGACTGAAACTTTACGGTCCCGATACGTCAACACATGGACTGTTGCCGAGTGTTGCCGATACGTACAACAATGACAGGTGGACGTCAGTCGTCCCTACGTCATCGTCAGAGGGATCTGCTAATTTGCCCAATATTTATTCGCAAGATGCCGCCAACACAAATTGAGGGTCATTATAATGGACCATTTGGCGCTGAGCGGCGCTTTTGATATAAGTTTTCGCTTGCTAATAAGCAATAGATTATATCAACCTATTGTAAATAACCAATGTGTTGACATAATGTTTGAATTAAATAAATATTTTATCAGCTTACAACGTGTAAAGAGAATTATATCAAATGAATACCTTTATAATATCTGCCTACGATTGAAGCCTACGGCAATAAGTCCGCCTATTAATTTTATTTACGGTGCATGTCACTTCGGTGACCTTTAGTTTTCTTTTAGGTAGCCTATATTTTATTGGCCTATGTGAATATGAAATAAAAAAGGCACATTAACAAGTCGTTTTCATTTAAGTAATGTAACATTTTTGACCCGTCGTCGGAGGGTGGGGATTTTATTAATACTTTAGCAATGTATAATAATAAAAGTATAAGCATACCTATACTAAAACAATTCTTAAGGTCGTTGAGCAATTACAATGTTTACTTTATTATTATCTGTTCCTTGAGTGGTTTATTATTATACTGTTAAGAGCAAATTTTATATGGAGTATCATTAAAAAGTACATCAATTTTACATTAAACAAGGCTCCCAAGTTCAACGCTTTCAAGTTAGTTTCCCGTCATATTACTTAACGACCCCAACATATGGTAAGCCACCCATGACCGCGGCTGTTTTGTTATCAAAAATTAGTAAATCTACTCAAAACAGCCAGTCATCCCGGCTGCTACCTACACCACTGGAGTTTTCGAATCCCCTTATAGTGTATCCAGTCCTAATCCACAATAAAAAAAGCTTAGAGCATTTTGTGGTCGCATCAATACGTTAACTTGCTAAAAACAAGCAATGATAACTACTAATAATGGTATGACTCATAATTTAAAATATTAAGCTTAGTATACATCGCAAAAAAAAAATCTTACGCTTTGTATACATATATGTAAGATGTAAATCATAGATGAATTTCCTAATGTTGTGTAACATTTTTGCCCAATATGCAATGTTTTCTTTCTAATAGAAATTCAGTCGCAATACTTAACATTTTTCTCGCGATGGAATAACTAGGGCGATGTCGAACATCTGTGTTTGAACGGGATAACTTGAGTTCGACTGGATGCGGTTAGCAAAAGCGCAGGTGTTCTACAAAGGGCCAATATTTAAAGAGGATTAGGTACTTATCAGGGAAATAGCCACCGTCGCGTTGTTCGTACACCGCCGTATCATAATTTGGACAAATCGATTTAGATCGGGCGGCGCGTTTGTTCCATGATTTAGTAGCACAGACAAATTGGGCCTTCCACATCGAGCCATGATCGATACACTGTATATGCGCATGTAATGTGGATGGTGAAGCGGTTACCAATTACAAGGACTTGAAAGTAAACGATCCGTAATTTCGTTCATTCAATCTGGTCCAGTCAATTATTAAAGTTATCCCACAACTTGGTATTTCTAAGTATAATGCTGTGACGTTTATAATATTCTAAACGTTTATGCTACAAATTTAAAAAAAAGAATTAGGGTTATTTAATTTAAAAAGAAGAGTACCTACCTATCTACTGAATGGAATCTATTCTACAACTTTTGTAGGATCACGAATTACGGCCAAAGTATTTAATTTTACATAGGTACATACAATGTCTGAGTGCAATATCGTGATTTGATTTGTCAAATTAAAAGCAATTAATTGTTAAATAATTTATTTAAGACGAGATACACCATCTACTTTTAGTTTTGAAAAGCTTCATTAGTTTGTCCTTGACCTCATCTCTATTTTAGTGACAACTTGATATACTGAAACAATATCTAAATATAAAAAAAATGATTCAGACAGTAATAGTTAATATCGTATTTTCGGTTCTGATTCAACGATTCTGTATCTGTAGCCCGTTACCTACTCTGTTCTTCACCGTAAATTAATTGCGTTTCCTAGAACTGATCGAAGTCAGAGCACCGTTGCCGAAATCATTGTTTCGGCTGATTGAATCATAATTTACTTTGGTATCACAAGTGTTGCAAAGATAGAGTAATTCCGGTGTAGTAACAGTCGACAGATATGTCTCAGTTTCGGCGCCTCGTCTGCCGTGATTCACTTGACGTAGTGATTCATTAATACAGTGTTACGTCCAGCGCGCACCGTGTCGTGAGTCAAAAGTGCATGTTGTCTATGATTATAGCGCGTGTGAGTGACCGGCCTTGTAAACATCGCTGAAAATGTGTGCCGTGTTTCTGAATAGCTGGATTCCAACTCGATGTGTTCCAATTTTTTTTCTTTCCTCTACATTTTGTGGTAGGTAGATAACGTTACAATACGATATTATATTTGTGCGCGTAATCGAGTGAATTTGTTCTGTACTGGCAATTTTGACATTTGTGATTATACGAGGCCTACCTTAGTATAATAAGGCCCTATATTTTAATAATTGTAATGCTTTAATAGCCACGAGTTCTCACAAATGAGTCCCGAGTTAAATATCGTTAATAGGGGTTGAGTATGTGCGTGACCTAACCGGTCTGGCTTAGTTGTGTTCAAATATGTTATAGCCAGTTTATTTTCATTTAGGACGTCTACAGAGCATCAGTTTGGTGGCATTAGTCTAATTAACTCGCAATATGTCTCGGTTTCCTAATTAAATTAAAGGGACTTTCCGCCTAGCTATTGCGTTACATTGTGACATGTAATTTTAGTTTGCTACCTAGTTAAGTAACTACGTAGTGCTTGCTAGCTATACGGACCAAACCTTTTTTCCTTTTTCGTACCTACTAGGGAAGTTCGCACAAAATGCCCGAGAGTGCGCTTCCATCAAAGAGCAATGTTCTCGACACGCAACCGGTCAAAACCCTGGCACGATATGAATATGAGTGGTCATAACGCCATCGTTCTGTTTTCCAAAAACAAAATTTGCATTCGAAATTGGAACGCGAATGGCACGAGCGCCCCGGGCGGATCGCTACCGAGCGCACAATGCACGCGCTCACGTTGATTTTTTGCAATTTCCATAATTCCACATTACCTTCATTTAGGTAGTTAATTTAGTTCTTTATGGTAAAAAATAAACTAGAACTGCGTGCAGCGCTACAATCAGAGGAAATGAGCATTTATTCAGAAATGTTATTTTACCGTTGCTTTGGTATAGCTTTAAAACTTTCAACACAAAAATCACGGAGTAATGATATCCCGTATTTCTTTATGAAGAAGTCTGTAATTCATATAACTCGAATAGTGACTGACATCAAGGTAAGAGATAAGTATAACTTCATTTAGCAGACTGTCCCCTTAGGGTAGGTCGTCATTGGTGTAAAATCATTATGGGGCAGGTTATCGAAGTTTGCCTGCGGTCGCTCCGAGCAACGTGGTGTCAACATTATTACAAACGTTTGTAGTTTAACTGAGTGATATTTATTATATAAGATATCTATTATTTTGTTCAATTAGTGTACAATGGAATGGGAGAATAGTGTGCAATTTAGAAAGATGGGTCAATAATAGACAATTTTATACACATATTAGGACATTTCTGATTGGTCGTTCTTTCCTTTTGAAGCTTAGAAGCTGACCACGC